ACCCTTTCCCTAATGCATTGCTTGTTTCTTTCTTACAATCCAAGGTTTTCAGTGATACAGCTGTTGACGTTTTTCTCAAAATGCAAACAACTTTAAAAGGCAATGTATACATTCATCTCGTATTTTCTTTGGTTATGGGTTCACTTTGCCGGTGATTACAATATACATTCTCCAGACTCGGAGAAATCAATCCACAAGAGAGAAAAGAAAAACAAAGGAGATATAGGTGAGCTCCGAAGAGGTGTCTGTGCCCAATTGCATTATTGATGAACAGATAGGGGTAGGGGTGGTTGAAGGGTTTCATTCAGGAAGACCACTGATCAGGGACGGTGAGAAAATACGTCGTCATGGCCTTACGGAACCTTTTCTTGTACTGCTTTGGCGAAATAATAGTGGGAGAAGCGTTCTTGGGACCTCCGAGGATGCCGGAGGCTTTGACCCAAGTCTCGAGGTGCTTGTCCCATGTGTACTGTCTCATGAAGTCGATGATCCCCAATACCAGCTCTTTACGCTCCTCGTCTATCCCGACCAGTAGAGAGTAGTCCATCACATCCACGGACTAAACAATCATTCAACAACCCACAAGACAATGAATGAACCATCAGATGTTTAGTTTAAGCCCTTGATTTCATCATTCAAAAAACACAAAAAGGACTTACGGCCAAGAAGGAGGTATCATTCCATATGGCCCTCTCCAGGCTTCTCTTCGCTTTGCTCCCAAGGAAAATGGGTTCAGTCCGGAGTGTCTCCAACAGATTCATATCCAGCAGAACTTTGTTTCCCCCTGATGTGTTTGCGTTATACCGTGACCGTGCTGATCCCTTGAGATCATAGATCCTAGTTATGCCTCTCCTGTAGAAGAGGTTCTCCATCACCATCAAGTCCATTTTCATCTCTTTTCCACCATTCAGATGTTTGATAGATACCTGTAGTAAAAAAAGACAAAATATAATGGCAGTGGGATTAAATCATAGGCATAAGAATTCTAAATCAGAGCCACTTCTTTATCCCAGAGATTGCCTAAAATAAACACACCCCGCACTTTGAAGCTAAGCATTTGCATATGAAGACTAACCTGATAGATACCGAGGACCTTAGCAAGGCAAGTCGGACTTCCAGAACTGAGCGAATCCGTCAGATACTTAAAGTATTCGGGTGCAAATTCCTCAAAAGATTCTAGCTCTGTCTTTATGACCTGCTTTATGATGAATCTCTCATCCAATGACTTGGCAAAGTAAACATTGCTTTTTCCACCCTGGGCACGCCACCTCTGGCAGCGGCTTAAGGATCTCACAAAGTCCACTTCACTTGGACAGCATTTATTCCTCAGAGAATCAAACAGCTTTGCAAAATAACATGTGACAGAGAATTTCACCTTCCCTTCAGTTGCAGAAGAGTCGTCAATGAAGGAAATGGTCAAATGCGGTGACTTTTTATCGTCTTGAGACCCGTAGGCTGTGTAGTGAATGAAATCAACATCCACTGACCCCAATGAACGCCAGGACATGAAGGCAGGTGAGGTCTGTCTGTTCCTGTCAATGCCACCACCCTTATCAGCAACCCAGCCCCCATATTCCTTGGAACTAAGAGCATATGATATGACGCTGGCAGGGTCATCGTCATAGACAGGAATCACAATATCATTGAGACAGTCTTGGGAAATTAGGAACCGAGCCCCATCAGCCATGTGCGATGCAGAAGAGATGTATGTGGGCGTTGTACCAACAATAAGATTCAACCTTTTTACTTCAAGCGGCAACATTTGCGTGTAAGTCCTCATCACATTAGTGACAGGATCCCTCACCATGTTTCGATACTCTCCAGAAGCGTGGAAGGATCTGAGCGTCGAGAGATACAATGAAGACGGAGGCAAACCTTTTTGGATTCGTTCTTGGTATCGCAACACAGAATCAAATGAATGAACCCGTATCGGCCTGGCTAACCTCTGAAGGGGAGAGTTAACAGCCGAAAAGCCTTCTGCCTCAGGCATTGGTTGAGCATTCTCTAGACTCTTACATGTGCCTAACCACGCTGAATCTATCCTCTCAGACAACGAAGAAGCTGGGGAGAGCGTGTTTCCTGAGTCTTTATTATCAGTAATAGCTTCTGAATCAGAAAGTACATCTTCTCTGTCATATGGACCCTCATTCGGTCCAAGACCAGTCTTTGGACGATGCTGTAATTCTGGATGTCCAGACACATCACCATCAGAAGCTTTAATGGCACATGCTTTTCTAAGTCGAGAATTTAACAAGCAGAGTTGATGATCCCAAGCATAAGAACCAATCAGAAGTGCGCGTCTCAAACGATTTAGCTCTAGAATATCCAAAGTACTCTGACTTTCTTGAATATTCTCCACAAAAATAGGTTGCAAAGCATCCTGTTTACAAGAAATGCTTAGTTAAATGTAATGAAAAAAAAAATATGCGTAAGTAGGGCAACCAAGAATTGAGAAGCATAAGTGTGTCTACCGTTAAAATTCAGCACAGAGAAAGCACGGGATGCACTAGAACAAAAGAATTAGATACTCACATCATATTCATCTTTCTCTTTTAAAAGCTGATCTTTAAGGTCCATTATGCAGCTCTGCAGATCATAGGCATCAGATAGTTCCTGCTCAATAGAGCTGCTTTTCTCTTCCATGCTGTTGAGGGTCTCAGATATCTCAGTATACATAGTCTGCATTTTACTCATAAGCTGTAGAAATTGCAAACGGTTAAAAATATGGGATTTGATAGGCATTCATAAATCAAGAACAGTTGTTTTAGCAGTGTATCAAAAAGTAAACGTTTCTTTAAAAAAACCCACCTCTGCCGCCTCTTTCCGTATCCACCCATGTTGATGGTGGCTGTTGAATTCAAGCACAGACGGGGGCAGGCAGACAGTAAGTATATCGATAGGGGAATACCTAAAGAACGCAACCATACTCCCGAATCTGCCAAACATTAAGTTGTATAGCCCGCTTCAGAAGTTAGCGCTTTAACAACTTGAGATATCAGGGTCGTTTTTTGAGTCGAAAGTATGTTTACCCATAAAAACGCAGACAGTCCCTCTGAAGCGAATGGCCACAGGATGCAACACGATTTGCAGTTGCGTGATTTGAAAAGCTAAGTTCCAGAAACTTCCCAAAGGATAGTCCCCAAGCAGCATCAGACATAACCACTCTTCGAGTAGCAGGAGGGACTCCATCCACTTTACCACATCTTAAGCAGCGGTGCCACATCCATATCTTCCCATCCTGTTCTCCAGGAAGCTTCATTGAAGAGAGGCGCCTAACAATGATAGTAAGATTTCCATTCTGGTGAGTATAGCAGAGGGCATGTGCATCAACAGGCTCTTTGCAAGATCTACAGGTAGAAGTCTGTAAAGAAATGGAAACACAAGAAGGATAAATTTATATTGCAAAATTTGATGGCATGAAAGAAAGGTGGAAATGTGGATAGAGATGCGAGCCACCTGGTCAAAAAGATCGTCCCGGAGATATCTTCCGAGAGGTTTATCGAAGGACCCATAAAACTTAATCCTCAACAGCCGGGAACGTTCACAAACAGATTCTTTCAACACACAATGGCTCGAAAAAGAGACCAATATACTGTGATGAGAGTCAGCAGCCGAGAAATACTCGCTCGAAACATCATTTTCATCAAATTTCTCATTTTGCAGCAAATCATGAGTTTCCTCTAATTGGTTATCTTCTTCACCTATCAATACTTGGGTATGTGACTCTGGAATTTCTATACTTGAGGGTATAGAGGAGATTTGCAAACCTTTTAACTGATTTGAGAGATATGAACCAATAACCAAATTATTGGGTAAATCTTTGTTTAAGGCATCAGAATGCTGTGAATCAACTATACACGATACTGTACCAGAAGATGAAGGGAAAATCTGGCCAGGATGAAAATCCTCACTCAGTGATTCAGACACCTCATGCTCTGCTGTGTGGGCCAAGAGTTGATCTTCATGTATAGCAGTATCAATTACAGTTTGGCAACTGGTTTTTGTTGGAGAATGAGTTATTGAGGAAATGCCACCATCCAGCATTCTCATCTCTGTTGTTGTTAGTGCAATTCTCGGTTGCTTCAATATCATTCTAGGCAGAGAAGCACCTTCATCTGCAAGGAATGAAGTTTCCAGTGACAAGTGATAAGCCGCAAATGCAGCATACTGAACTGCATCTTTAACCTTCTTCAGTTCCTCACGGCAACTGCCCCTCAGCAGAACCTGAAGAAGTTCCAGAAGAATCTGATCAGGGGCCAAAGTTACAAAGGAAAAACTCAAAAGTTGTACAAGCGCAGAAAGGTTAGAAGGACGAAAGAATGAATTGCTTCAGCTAAGATAGATTTTACATTCAGACTCCCATCAAAAAATGTAATAGGTGCTACGTCTTAAGGAAATACCACTGCGAGGAAATTGTCTCAGACTCCATAACCACCAAAGTTTGAAGGTTACTAAAATTCAACAGCAAAGCTATTATATGGACATAGTACCGTGCAACCAAGGCGTCTAGGACACCCTTCAAAGTACATCAATGTCTTGGACGGTTTTCTGTTGAATTGACTGCCAACTTCATGCTGTTCCATCACTTTCTCTGTTCGGAACAGCTCACAGTGGCCCAACCGAGCAGTGGATATACTATCTACTGAGGGACAAAGAAGAGCACCAGTGCAACGGGCAATTTGCTCCAGTAATGACCTTTTCACATTAAGCACCAACGAGATTTCCTTCTCTAGAAGATATTGCTGTGCGTATGAAGATACACTTTTCTCTACCAGCAAAACATTAGGACGCAAAGACTCAATTTTTGCTATAATTGTCCTCAAATGATCATTTTCCTGTCCAATATACAAAAGTGCAATACATTCAGTCAGAACTTTAATAAGAGATTTTAGGCAGCCATATTAGAGAATGGAAAGGAACAAACCTGTTGAAGCAATGTGTTAAAAGATGCTAACTGGCTAGTAACTCTCTGATATTCAAGAGCCCCACCTAAGAGCAGCAAGCGTGGATTTTTGTACTGTGATGTCATGCGTTTGTGCTTAATGTTCTTGCTACAAACTATACCCTTAATGAGGATGCTGCAGAAAGAAGGTACTCAGCATCAGAGCTTAGGAAATCCAGACCATAAAAGTAACCAGAAAGTGGCAGGAAAGAAAGACACTGAACGAGAATAGGTGAAAGTATATACCTCTCGTTTGGTCTTCCCGAGGCTATACATTTTATTTTGACGTAGTCACCGGGATCCATACTGCCACCGGCACGAGTATCCGGCTTCACAAAATTTGCAGCTTGCCATGCCAAAGCAGTAACAATGTCCAGCCAATCTCCACCACTGCCTTCATTACTAGGATTAAGCCCCTCCCCACGTAATAACTCGGCCACAAGAGCTCTAAAGTGACCATGTACCACAGTTTTAAGAGGTTCCTTATGGCTTTCACCCAGCTTCTCTCTCGCTGGAATGTGGCTAGAAAAGCTGCTATTAGATGAAAACTCCGTAGCAGAGTCCCCAATAGCATCATCTTCGTCATCATACACAAAGTAATTACTTTCAGCTTCATCATTCTCATCCTCAGGTGGCGGAGGATACCAGATAAGGCCGTTATTCTCAAAATCCAACGTCTGTTGTTGCGACTTATGCTCTTGACAATGAAGGACGTCATGATTTTCTAGATCCATGGCCCTTGGATTTGGCTTTCTTAAAACAGCCATGGGTTCTTGAACAAAAGAACCGGTGATGGGGCTAAGCTCTTTCCCATGCTGTACAAAGCGCCCAAGAGGACTAAAATCGTTCCTACATGGACTGTCGCAAGGACTGGACCCAGAAGATTTACAACTAAAAAGGTCATGCCTAGCACTAACACTACCTGAATCTATATCTGAAGTGTCCTGATAGTATTCACTTGAGGGGCTTAAAAACTGTTTGCCAGAACATTCTGCCTCCACTTCCTCCGCCCTGGAAACAAATAAAAGACGTAAGACACTATGTCTAGCGTGCCTACTGACTGGCAGAACTTTTACCAGATAAATGGCCATCGGTGAATACTTCCTAGTGCTAAATTGCTGTTAGAACCCAAATCAAACATTACCTGCAAGGATAGCAACGGATGGAGGACATATTCCTGTTAGCCATGGCATGAGGCGAAGACCTGCAATCCGGGGCTTGGAGACTTGAAGCAAGATTGTCACTTTGAACAGATTCAATTCCAGAAGGGGAAGGTGGTTCTGGGCTCTCGCGTGGATATACCTTTTCATAGGACTTGCCCCCTAATACATTCCCAACGCACGCTCTGCACAGCTTCTTCTTACATTCCCTCTCATCTGTCTCATTCGGATAACTCATACAGTTCTCACACCACCATCTGCCACAACTCTGGCAGCAGCATCCGTGGAATAAAACTGTTCCCTCCGACTTGGTCCCGCAATCATTGCACATTTTGGAAAGGTTTGGCATTTCAAAGTCTCCGGATAAACACAAAGGATCGCTTGAGCCCAAAGTTATCCAAGACCTAACCTTATCAATTAGATCTAGCAGTGAACCATCGGGTATTCCCATAAACTCCCCCAATATGCTCCAGATTAGAAACAACCGACAAGTATCTGTGACTTCGATTTGTAAGGGATGTGAAGATTGTTAAAAGAAAAAAAAATCCCACAACAAAAATGGTGGGCAGATTTGGCTCAGCAACAGATTAGAATCTTTCCTCTCTTTTTTTACTTCAAAGCAAAAGGAAGACTTGCAACAATTCCATGTCGCAACACCAGATCACTCCGTCGGATAACAACACCATATGATTCTTTATGGGGAGAGAGAGAGGTAAGAAAAAACCCTAGATCAAACCCCCAAACTACCATCAGGCAACCTTTGAGTAGTCATGGACCAACAAACAGATCCGAGACTAAAACCCATGAAAACTCGATCGGTTAAAGAAAAGGAGGAAAGGAACAAAACCCATAAAAAATGTTGACTTTCTTCTCGATCAAAGCTTGAAAATCAGGGAAAACGGAGAAAAGGTAAAATAGAAAAGAGTGAGATGGAAGAACAAGGGGGCGAAGCGAAGAGAAGAGAGAAACGAATTAAATACTGGGCAAAATGAGAATCAAAAGGAGGAAGAGGAGAAGTACGGAGAAGGTTCCCTTTCTACCGGACTTGGCTCGCATCTCGAACACCATATAACTCTCTCTCACTCCTCCTACTGTTCATAGAGCCTATTTCTTCTTCATATGAGTATCTCTGCGCTCTCTTAACCCCTTTTTTCCCTTCAGCTATGGCAGTTTTTCATGAGAGAAGCAGATTCACGACTCTTCCACCAGCTTATACTGCTCCGCCATTAAACTATTGACTCTCTCTCTCTCTTCTTCGTCCGTCCCCTCTTTTTCTTATTTGCGTACTAATTTCATATAATTAAAATAAATGGCGTTTAGTGGGTTTCAATCAACTTTAATCTTTGATTTAGACGGAGGACCGGCTCGATTACGTTTTTTTTTTCTTTTTTGTTTGCAAAAAAGCAATAAAGACCCAAAAGCCGTTTTATCCTTTATTTGACGGGACGCAGACTCCGTCATCAGGCTCCCGTTTTCCATTGGTCAGCAACGGCCTTTTTCTGGGTAAACGTATTCATAATCTCCCCTTTTTTTTCCTTTTCATTTTTTTTAAATATATTTCACCCTGCATTTGATTTTCCTTGGCCTCCGGTCACTCTACCTCCATTGTAGCACATTACATATTTATTTATAATTTCTCTTATCGGTCTTCAATATTTTTTTTTTTAGAATTTGGAAATTCACCGGATGTTCGACCCTACTACATCTCCCAAACAATCGGAAAAGTCCATATGAATCAAGTGATGACTCGAACCCGGATTGAAAATGAATTTTGTTCTTTTTTTACCGGTTTAACTATCCAATTTTGGGTTATCGGTCTTAAATATCACATGTTGAGAGTTGGTTAACCGGCCAAATGTCTAACCCACTTAAAATTTGAGAAATAACGTATCCAACCAATAACGGAAAATCCAAAGCAAAATCAGAAAGCTTAAGAACCTTTTATTCTCTGGTAGAAATGTATTCCCTCAACGGGTGAAAATCATTGGATCAACTGCTGTCAAATCGTATCTCCGTGATTTTATAGCAAGTAGTCTACGACTAAAACCGCATGTAATAAATAATCAAATTAGGGTGTTGGGTTGATTTTCCATTTTCTGAATCTCTTTATTGGTCCTTTTATAGCAAAATGATTACGCTTTTTTCAGAAAAATATACACATAATTGTGGAATGACAAGATAGTGACAATCTAATAATTACGTATTTTTAATGATAAAAGCTTGTGTAAATCCAAATTCAAAATGAAGAGGCTGCCCTGATTAAGAGCGTACTCTGGATTATTGAATAACTGATCGACGCTTTGTTTTAGTATTTTGGTAATTAGCAATTGTACGTTAAAATGAAATGATCTAATCCTTATATATCTTAAATTATAATATCGGCGCGAGTATATCCATAAAGTGAAATTATCTAATCTTTCTCATATTAATAACATATTTGCGTTTGGATTTTATAATTGCTAGCTAATCTTCGCCATCGCTTCCACTAAATCAAGGGGTTGACAAGCATCGACATAAATTTCAAATAATTAACTTTCCTACCTACAAACTCCACATAGGTTTCTTCCTTCACCACAACTTACAAATTATGTTATATGCAATCTAATTTTTTTATCCAAGAGAAAAAAAAATGATAAATAAACTTTTTGACGTTAAGAGTTATAGAAATTTGAAAAGGGATATATACTAAAATTTAAGGGAATTTAAAGTTCATATACTACTATATTTTTATTTAATGCTAATTTTTAAAATTTTTATATTATATTCTTCATAAAAAAAAGTAGAGTTAAAATATTGTCTATTTAAATGCATTGGATTATTAATAACAACAAATACGATTATCTTACAATTTATCATTACAAAAATATTATAGGTTTGGTAATGTAGGTTTAAATAGCATATTCATTGAAATTTATATTGCATTGTACTTATACTCATAGCTTATGACCAACTTTATTGACAAAGAACAAATATTGGTACCGTATTAAAAGGAAAAAAAAACTAAAATTTCTTGTTATTCACGACATCCAAAATTCGATGTTAGATAAAACGACACCTTTTTATGAAATAATTATTGAAGAAACTATATATATATATATATATATATATATATGGCCTGGCCAATCTAAATAAAATATGACAATATATTTGAGGCTGTTCTATCATTGGAACTGATTCAATGCAAAATAAGATATATTTAATTCAAGTTATACAAACATTACAACTGTCTCGTTATAAAGTCAAAGAAACCAGAAGCTGAGGCAGTGGTGTTCCTGTAACTAATTTGTATGGAGAGTTTAATCGAACATATTTAGATTAGCTATTCACTAACCATAACACTGTATTTAAAATAAATATTAAAAAAAAAAAGCCCTTGCCTACGAAGTAATAATAAATTCGACAGGGTTGAAAAAGGGGAAGACGTTGTTTAAGAAATAAAGATACTAAAAAAGTTGCCGAAAGATAAAATGCTCATTTCTATCTTTGAACATGCAATTTTTTTTTTTCTTTTTCTATTTGCTTATTTCTTACGGTCGATTAGATAAGATTATTTTTTTATTGGCACAATTCGTCGAGTAGATGATTTGGGGGTTTTTTGTATTCTTCTGGAAAGTAGATGATAACATCAAATAGGGACGCAGACATGTGGATGCTCGTGTCTCTTCATTTCCTTTTTGGCATGTCGAATTATATGGTCTTTAAGCATGGTTCTAAATGATAGTTTAACATATACACAAATTTCAATTTTTACGTGTAATTGAATTTGTTATTTAGAACGGGTTAGAAGAAAGAATGAGAATAGATCACGAGTTTGCTTTTATTTATTCATTTATTAATCTTCTTTTTTACTCTTTGGAGCTTACGTGTCTGCCTTACGTCTAATCGAGCTTGTTAATTGGTTGATCTTTCATTGAATATGATAACATGTCTGCGTCAAATTAAGGGTGCAATGGGTCCCACTTTGGCATTCTTAGTCCTTTATATTGCCCATTAAATTCAAATAATACCATTCGGCAGACGAAATATGGGCTGTGGTATTTGTAAGTTTGTCTCCAAATGGACTTGCTGACATTTATAATTTAACCTGAGATGATGGGACGATCGAACAAATAGATAATAAAATGGTGAAAATATTGAGGACGACTTTCTCAAAAGATTAAATAGTTCAATCGGTAAAGAGGAGAACAAAACTCTTTTTCAATCGGGTTCGAATCGTCAATTGGAAAAGAGTATTCACATAGATTTCTTCGGTCCTCTAGAAGATGTATTCGAATTAAATATCCGGTGAACTTTCAAATTATTAAAAAAAAATTGAACCAAGAAACGATGCATGATTTGGAGTTGGGCAAATTTCATTCATTCTCCTCTTCCCTCTGATTGGTTTGGTAAAATAGACGATAAAATTTTTTGTCCTTTTTTTATAACGGAGGACCCCTAGCTGCTACCCTTCGGGCGCGCTGACTAGGTAAACCTCCGGCTCTGTTGGGCCTAAAAGCCCATTTGGTGGAAAAGTTAAACCCTCCACGTGAGGGAGAGGCTTTCCAAAAACGCCACGTTTTGCGTTTTAGGGTTAATACCCTAATGTGTTTTGGTTTTTTGGCGAGACACGGTGCTCGAGGTGTGAGAGAGAAAGAGAGGGAGAACGGAGATGGCGAAGGAGAAGGAGGTTTATGCCGACGGAGGAGTTTCTCGGCGTCGCCGGAGCTCGGGATCGAAGGCGGCTCAAGGTAGGTGAGTCGGGATCGGTAAGGCGTCGCGTATTCTGTTCTTTTTCGGTTGTTTCTTGGACACATCGTGGGTGAGTCTCCGGTTTTGTGGAGATCACCGTCTTCGGTTGTTTTCCGTTCTGTTCTAATGGATTCGCCGGCACCGTCCGGCCGAGATGTAGGCCCGAGCTTGCTCGGTAACCGAACTCGTTAAAATCTCCGGTCTCTTTCATTCACGCACGTACGAGAGTCGGAGTGGCCGTGAGATCTCGATACCGACTTCACAAAGAGTCGGTGTAGGTTGGCGCTAGGACACTCCCTCTCGAGGTGGAGCACGTGCACTCACGTGTCTCTTATTCTCGGTGGAGCATCGTAGATGACTAGGAACGTCTTCACGGAACAAAACCGTGGGACAATTCTAGTTGGCAGGTTAGGGTCCGAGGGTAGAAGTCGTATACCTATAGGTAGTATAGACTTCACGGGGATCCGGGCTAGGTATCTAGCGGGTTTCGCTAGTATGACTCAGGTTAGTCTCGGGAAAGTCGGGATAGACTTAGGAGACGGGTAGACGTCGGGTGTAATCCTCGGGTTAGCTAGCGGGTATAGTCTTGGACTTTACTAGGAGGATTGGTTAGACGGTCTAGGGAGTCATACAACCGAGGGTAGCGTTTGCCGGTCGGGCAACGCGGGATAGGACTACGGTTCGAGTCTTATCGGGGTGAACGTTCTAACACGTTTACCAAGTGTTTCAGGTATAGATGAGCTGATCGGTGTTTCGGTTTCTCTTTCTCCACCAAGGTGGAGATTGTTGGGCCTAAAAGCCCATTTGGTGGAAAAGTTAAACCCTCCACGTGAGGGAGAGGCTTTCCAAAAACGCCACGTTTTGCGTTTTAGGGTTAATACCCTAATGTGTTTTGGTTTTTTGGCGAGACACGGTGCTCGAGGTGTGAGAGAGAAAGAGAGGGAGAACGGAGATGGCGAAGGAGAAGGAGGTTTATGCCGACGGAGGAGTTTCTCGGCGTCGCCGGAGCTCGGGATCGAAGGCGGCTCAAGGTAGGTGAGTCGGGATCGGTAAGGCGTCGCGTATTCTGTTCTTTTTCGGTTGTTTCTTGGACACATCGTGGGTGAGTCTCCGGTTTTGTGGAGATCACCGTCTTCGGTTGTTTTCCGTTCTGTTCTAGTGGATTCGCCGGCACCGTCCGGCCGAGATGTAGGCCCGAGCTTGCTCGGTAACCGAACTCGTTAAAATCTCCGGTCTCTTTCATTCGCGCACGTACGAGAGTCGGAGTGGCCGTGAGATCTCGATACCGACTTCACAGGCTCGAAAGTAGCTTTTGTATATGGATCATATAAACCCAGAAATTACCTCCATCCTCACCAGCCAGGAATCGAACACTCAACCTCAAGGTGGAGTTACTTCCTACCCCAAGTTTGACCACTCGTCCATGATCTGTTGGGTTATTAGACGATAAAGTTATCGTTTAAAGATGATCGAACCGATATATAATAGTGTTGTCGGGATGATGTTGAGATCGTTGTATAAGATAGTGATAAAAGGCCAATAGTAAGAAGAAGGTCAAATGACGAATGAGAACATCCTTGAAAAATGCAAGTTTATGGCGCATTTGCTGACGAGAGCCTTACGAAATATGAAGCGCTCCAATCAAACAAACGAAAAAGCGAGACAGGCGTTACCTCATGTGATGTTATATTCCACTTGCGCACAGTGACCCCTTTGATATCCGCACATTACAATGTTATATCATTTCACCGAATTGCCATTTAACAACAATTTATCCCACAACTATAGTTTTTATTTGTCTTTGTTTCGTTTACAAATCCATATACTATATATTCCATTTCGTTTGCTCTGTTATCATAATACAGTTTTTACGTAGTTGCCACTAATGAATTATTTGTTCTATAAACATATTCATTCTATTTATATTATTGTATTCCATCCATTTTTTTGTTCTGTATTAACGTGTTGGCATCCGAAGTAGAAGCAAACGATTCCAAAAATGTAAAAAACTGTCGTTTACTTGAACAAATAGTGTTATTTAGGGATAATTTCACCTTCATTATTCAATACATACATAAACAAAAGTGGTACTAATACTATGCGCATAAATAACATGAGCAGAAATGATGGGATGTGAGGGCCATCACATTTATTCCGTATGTATAAGAAGATGGGTGATTTCAATTAGTGGGTACATTATAGAGACAGAGAGAGGTCAACCAATGCATTCGCATTATTGAGCATAGTTGTTACTGTTATAGTGCTACTAATGCAATTTCAATAATCCTGAATGTAACATGCATTAGTACAATAAGGAATACTTATCCCTCAATTCCTTAAAAAACGAATAAAGGACTAGCCTAATTCGTGTCCTTGTCTAGTAGGGCAGTGGAAAGGGAATATACTAGATCATCTTACCCCTACATTTTAATGTAGAAAGATGGATTCGAACCCGCGACCTCAGATCTCACTGTAAATAGTTTTATCGTTGAGTCAAGTCAACCCTTATTAAAGAACGAATAAAGCAAATAATTATCTTGTTGAATTAGAGGGGGTAATTACACGATAATTGTAAGCATAATCATCACAAGACTTGTCGATCTGCAAAGTAAAGCCTCATTATTTGCCAATTTACACATTGCTTAATTAAAACGTATCTGTGTGTATTTTAGTTGTACTGAATTTAATTTAGCCGACGTCTCATGTACATCATCGTGCATGTAAGAAGTTTTGGTTACATTATTCTCTTTTCTTTTCTTTTTTTTTTGTCCGCAGCGGCGATATTTTGTTTTTAATATCTGCACGAGCACGCATTATAAAAGACTATTTTTTCCCCATAATATAAGCTTTAAGATACAATATCATAATCACGAAATGGGATTCTTTTTCATCAATTGGCGGTATAAATATTATTGAGAATTATCAAATGAATATATATCACAAACCGAAATTTGGCATGAAAGACAACTGCGAAGGAATTAGTTCAGAAGAAACTTCTATTCTAACTGGCAATGCTCCCACGAATATTTGACGGATATCTATTAAAAAATATCGAGAATATTCGAAAAAATTACGTAATATTAAGATTTGATTTATTTCTATATTTTATATATTTATATTGGTATATTATAATTCTCTCAATGATTCTCCAAACTTTTTTCTATTACTATCGACTATTAAATAATTATAACTGAAAATATACAATAAAAAACAGCCAACTATAAAACTTGGACAGAAAATGAGAAAAAATAAAGGGTATTCATATGCATTTATACAATAAAATATGTTTCACATAATTTTCCATAAATCAAATCATTTGTCAACCATATCTACGTGGAATCTTGTCATATTGGCAATCTTCAGTCTAATTTTTGCAGTTAACGTAGACAAGTCTGAAGCATGACCTTTATCACAAAAAAAAAAAAGTCTGAAGCATGACAAAATCTTTTCTTTTCTTTTTTTTTTTTTTTGAAAAGGGTGTCTAGGCACGACAAATTTACAAACCCAACCTAAAGCTTTTGCAATTCAACATGATATAAATTTCCTCGTCAGCCCAAATAAATAAAAAAAAAGGGATTATTTCTTCTTTTTTATTTCAGGAAAAAGGGGAAGGATGGGAACGAGGGCATGGTATTGGTTGTGGATCATCCCCGAAGTTCATATTGTGTCATACAATTTCACAAAACGTGAATGCATGTATGGGTTTATCTCACGCTGGTTAAATTTATTAATTTAACATCAAATAGGGTTTGACGAAGTTATCCCAAAATCAACTATCTACGGATACTTGATTTTAGAATTCTCACCTACGTTCAAAAGCGAATCTAAATCCGAATCTTCAGTTTGTAAATTAAATCATAATTGAGTAAATTTTTTGATTTTTTTCTTTTTTTTTTCAATTAAAATTTCTAATTCTATCTAATAAAAAAAGTAGAAAAACTCAAATCAAATATAAAATATAATAATATCGAAATTTTATACCGATTAAAACTCTATAACACCTATATATATATATATATATATATATATATATAATTGGCACTCGATACAGCAACTTCGGCTCAAGATCGACAGATCCATGAGAAATATTCTTTCCTCCTTGCATCGTCCGAAGGTCTTCAGATAAAACTTTTGCTCGCTTGCGCATGGGATTCTTGTTATACTTTTAGTATATTGATTGATGTATTCGAACTATTTTTGTATACAGTTCTTTTGGAAGTATTTCAATCACATTTTTTAACAAAAAAATATATAATTAAATGCTTGTTAGCTTTTTTATTTATTTAATCGCGAGTTTAAAACGTGATATATATATATATATATATATATATATCTTCTTGCATTTTTATTTTTGTATAATTTTCCATTTAACGTGATATTGGATGCAAAAAGTAATTTTATGTTGACGACTCCAATTTCGTGTAGATATTGTATTGTAACTTTATTTTGCATTTTATTTCATTTGGTTGTTTATTCTTTATAAAAAAAACGTTGTTTATTTTCTATTTGGGAAAACAAAAATAAAAGGCAAGGAGGCCATCAAAATCATATAAATGTGGGTGATGTGCAGAGATATTTTTGATAAGTTGATAAGACACATGGCAAAGTAGGGACGTGTCACGAGAATATTAATCCACCTGGAGAATATGGAGAAATCGTGGCCGTTCATCTGTGAAAATATCAAGTGAGACACTGAGGGCCTTCCGGAAAGTTCGTGGGGGAAAGATATTTATAAAAGGACTTTTTGGTCTCCCATCTGTGTTATGCAAGCGTAATCTTTGGAGGATGTTGGAAGGAGGAAGGAAGAGGACGACGTCGTATTACCAAGTTCTTGGAGTCGCTGCGGGTTCCTCAGCCGACGACATACGACGAGCGTATCGCAAGCAGGCAATGGTGGGTTGCCGCTCTTCTTCCTGGCGGTTCCTATATATATGTATATATATACTTTTCCTCCCCAAATTAAATAGGGGATGACTTCCTTGTTATATGTTGCAGAGATGGCATCCCGATCGCTGGACGAAGGACCCTTCTCTCGCAGGCGAAGCCAAACGCAGATTCCAGCAGATTCAGGAAGCTTATTCTGTGCTATCGGATCAGAAGAAGCGAAGCTTGTACGACGCAGGCCTCTACGATCCTGAAAACGAGGGCTTCTTCGATTTTGTTCAAGAATTGGCCTCTTTCATTGCCCAGACGAGAGAAGAGGTAAAACCCTTTTCGCTTCTGGCATACCTTTCGTTTCTTACACGTAACATTCGGGACAGAAGTCTGACAGGCAGAAGCCGCAGGATAAGCAATACAGCATGGAGGAGCTTCAGACGATGTTCGCTGAGATGATCCATCAGTTTGATTCGGAGCCCTTGTTCCGCGACGGACCAAAGGCCTTCGACGTCGATCTGGATGAAGCGACCGATGAGGCTGTCAGTTTCTCGATTGGCTACCGTTGAATGTCTCGGGATTTGATCGGTTCTTACTAAAACTCCTGTTGATGTGTGTGAAGGGCCAATGAGTTCCTACGTAGGTTTTCCTCTGTATCTTTCCCGTAAGATGTAACTGTTGGGCAAAAACCACTCAGCTGTTTGCATGGTTTACGACACGACCTGGAAAATGGAACGTCGAAACAAAGACTTCGTTCCACATGAAATGTAACGACGCTGGACAATGTGAATAAAATGTTGTGCTGTATAGAAATCCCAAGGAAAAATGGCCCTTTAAAATTATGTGGGTCCAAATTAGTCCCATAAACTGACACAGCTTTTAGGCCCGATTCGATCCAACCCATTTAGTTTGTTGGGTCAGTGGGTCTGGCCCCATGGATTACGAAGGATGGCCCTTGAGCTCATCACTTTATTTTTTATAAGAAAAAAAATCTCCGTTTCTTCACGAAAGCCCTAGATTCTTCTTTCGTCCCCGTTTTCTGGATGCTTCAACGTCTCATCAACGAAACCAAGGGTTTATCGACGACCCAAGCCGAGCCCATCATGGGTTGGGCTAAGTTGGGTCCGATTGGCCCGTTTGAAAGTCGTCTTGAGCCGTTCGGCGTCATCCGGACGACTCGGTGGTGCATTTATTATCCTCTTTATTCCCAAAATTCTTTTCCAACCCTGTTTTGTTCGGCATCTACGAAATAAAGAAATATATGGTCGGTAGCCTTAGCCTGTTAGCCAACCTAACTCTAATGATTTGTCAACTCTTTTTCCCGTCTGCATGTGCAGTGACCTTTTTTTTTAAAAAATTTATAATGGTGTATCTGGGCTGCTCCGAATAATTCCTCAATTATGCAATCGGCATCTTTCAATTATCTGTCTATATAATGATTTTTATTATGTGATCATTCGGTAATTGGCCAACATGATGAGGCAGTTACATATTGTCGTAAAAAAAAAGGTTATACGCGTGATGAATGACTGCTAACACTAATAATATATTTTTTACGTTTCAATTCATATAATACACAGATACGGTCAAAATCCTAAACCAGCTTTGGATTTGCCTTCCCCACCACACCACTGCCAATACCTTAAAATCCCATTTACGCTTTACGCGACAACGCACGATATATCGCAGCAAATCATTGTATCATCATCTAACCTTGTTACGAATAACAAACACGTTAAAAAGATTTTCAGGGCACGCTGCAGGTTTATATTTATAGGATGGATCATATGCTAATAATCCCACTATGGAAAATGGTCCATGTGGGGCCCTTACTCCGAGGCCGCACTCACATGCGAAAGACGATTCCATAGTGGTCCGACGGCGTGTATGCCACCATATTTCTCCAACGATATTAATTATCCATTGTCCGCATTATCATTTAAACCCCAATTTTTGTACTTTAAAATCCATACACTAATTCTATTTACTTGTATTGGTGCGAGATACAACTTTTTTTATTATTATATACACGTATATCATGTTCAAATCCATCATCTAGTATTTGAATCGTAAATATTTTTTACTTGTTTCCATACAGCATGAATTTTTTACACACTTGTAGTGTACATCCTCTAAACCGCATACTGATCTTTTGGACCCTACCCTTGAATTTGTTCGCATATCAATGTCTTTCTCCATTTGCTTACGATGTCCTTCCATTTTTTTTATATATCTTTTCCATCTACAATTGGTATAACATTTTCTTTTTCATTCTTTTTTGTGATTTCCTCGGAAAGATCAAATTTAATTTCTTGAAAATTCTTCTAGCTAGCTATTTTATTTTCTCTTGATATATATCCTTTCAGTTTCTAAAGGGATTAACATACTCAAAAAAAAATTAAATGAAAGACATAGCCTCTCTCTCTCTACACTTTTGGTTGGAAGTTTCCCTTCTCATATTTTATTTGCTGTCGTGTAATTTGGAAGGATCCCATGCACTCGCTTACGTAAAGAGGCCGTCTTCGTCATTTATTAGACCTCTCGTCTTTAGAGTCCTCAAATCATATTCTCCAATTAAACCCTCCATTCTCTGATACATCACACACCACTCCACCTCATCATGTCGAAAAACGCTCGTCGTTTGAAATCTTTGCCGGCCATGTTGGTGGCGGTGATCATCACCGCGTTTCTCGCGCCTCCGTTGAGCGCCGACGAGGATCCCATAAAGTGTACGCCCTGCCTCCAGAGCCCTCCGCCGCCGTCTCCTCCGCCGCCGTCTCCTCCGCCTCCGTCGTGCCCTCCGCCGCCCGCTCTGCCACCTCCTCCGCCAAAGAAATCCGGCCCCAACTGCCCGCCGCCTCCGTCGTTCCTCTACATAACGGGCCCACCCGGAAACCTTTACCCGGTTGACCAGGAATTCGGCGGTGCCGCCGGAAAAAGTTCGACGGCGGTGAAGCTCTCGGCGCTACTCGCCTTTGGGGTGCTCGCTTTCTTCAATAACTTTTGACGCGGAAGGACTGACAAATTGGCTGTTCTTCTTCCCCCCATCGATCCTCGAAAGGGCTCTTTCTTTTGGCGATAGATCAAGATCGTTCACTTTTAACGGGTACGTTATATTCAGATCGTTGTTCGACATCATCTCCAGCTATATATATATACCACCAAAGCATTTATGTTTACCTATAGATAGGATTGATAATTCATCTTATACTTCGTTGTTGTCCAAAATTTCTTGCGATTCCTAATCAATAAGATCTTTCAATTCTGGAGTTGTGTTCTCTTTGATTTTATCCCTTGATTTCAACCTGAATCCGTTCATTGACTCTATATTATGTGAAGGATAATTTTTATGTGCTTCTTTTCACAAAGTTAGGGCCTTTTTCTTCACCAGAAAGTTGTTGCGTATTAAATTAAAAGCCCCAATACAATAAAGCGCAGAATTTGCCTAGAAATATCTATATATTTTACCATTTTGATCCTAAACGTAACTCGTAATGTTTACTGGATATATATATATATACACCCAATTCCGAGATAGGGATGTACCGTATTATTTTAGATATTTTTTTTTTTATAGTATTCGTCATGTGACGAAAAGCATAAATGGTGATTCGGAACCAAGGCAGAGAGGAGTATACGTGTCGTGGATTGAATACATATTTATGAAAATACGGGATTATACTCGATTGTCTGAATAAAAAGTGATCGATGCATGCACGTTCGTTTGTTAAAAGGTGAGGATCAAGAAAGAGATAATTTCGAGGTGGAATCGATCGAGACAAGTTTAATTACACATCGAATTGCCACGTGGCGTGTCGTGAATCGTTTTGTTGTAAAGTTTATGTGCGCTACTATAGACCAAGTCGGTGTGAAATTAAGGAAGGAAATCTTGACGGCTGAAAGGGGATCCACAACCCGATGGGTGGGTCCCACCAAACCGACCCTCACGACATTACATGTGATGTGCCCTCTCTCCTACTCTTACGTTTCCACCCAACCGTATTGCTGTTAAACCCAATCAAACCGGCTTTATCCGAAACCAAATACTCAATCAGTTTGAATGATTGGAGTTTTTAGAATCTAAAAACCAAAAAAACTATTATTCAAATTTTTACAAAATTATTTTTTGTAGAAATTTAAAAAATCATTTTAGTATTAAATCAATAAAAATAAAATTATTATTTTTAGTTTTCAAATATTATAAAAACTAAAAACTAAAAATCAAAATCTAAAATCCAAAAATTTAAATCAAAAACCCAAAATAAAAATTATCTCCATTCCAAGCTGAAATTATTGGCTTGTTGTTGTTGATGTATAATTGGGAATAAATACAGGGCATATATATCAACATGGTGTAGAAAAAGGTAAAGAAGTGGATGGAGCCTTTGACGTAACCCGCATGGAACCTCCCCCTATCATTTACCTAATTTATTCTCTGCCCCTTTTCTTTTGTTTTATTTCTCTTTATTGTGAAAGAATCTTTTATTATTCGGGGGTGGTCCTTACATTTGGATAAACATTTTCTTACGCCCCAAAATGCAACGTTGGATCCATAGAAGGGTTTGAAAAGTAAGATCCAAAATTTCGCAATTGAGAGGTGCACAACACTTAATTATCTAACTAATCATATTATTTTGTATGTGTGTGACATTTCTGGGACAATTTATTACATCTATATATATATATATATATATATATATATATATAAGTCGAAGGGTCGTGATAAAATATTCGATTTGAAGTTTTTCTAGGTTTTTGAGATGGATTCGTCGATGCAATGGGGATGAAAAGTTTGGAAGAAAGTGCTAATCTCGGGAGCGATGATAAATTCTACGATTCCACATATGGCCGGGGAAACGTCGTCATCACTCGACTTCCGGACCTTTACAGCTGCGCCCTCGCGGTTCCATCTGAATACGGGTGTAATATATTACATCCGTTAATCGCCTTCGTAGTTATCATTATCTTATCTTGAAGCATCGATAACATGATTAATATGCGCAACCATCCATTGGGTGATCAAAGTGGCCTGTAAAGCATCTGCCTTTGTAACCATCAGATAAGTTGATTTCTTTTCGAGAAAGTCTATATTAGGATGATCAAATCTAAAATGTTCACTAAACATTACGTTTTATTAAAAACAAATAATGGCTTATAGCCTTATACCCCTATTGTTCACCTTCATTACTCCCATTTTGCTATTTATATTTTGCACACCTCTATTCGGTGTACTCTAATATTTAAATTTCTAAACCCTAAATCATAACATCTAAATTGTAAACCCTAAAATTCTAAAATCTAAACCCCAAGATTTTTGGATTAATTAGGATTAGGTTGATTTAGAGATTAGGGATTAAGATTTAATATTTAGCGTGTATAATCGGGGTTAGATTGGGAATACTAAAATGAAAAGAGAGAAAAAGAGGGAAATTGCCAAATCACCCTAATAGGACAATATATAGAAAGAAAGTTTACAAGTATAAAAAGAGAGAATCGCAGACGAATAACTGAACTTTTTACTTTTCACAAAATAAAATTTCAACTTCATTTTTTCAATAAAAAATAAACTCAAATATAATAAATAAAACCCTTTTGTAGTGCTTTTACTTTCAGAATGAATACGCTGCACTTGTAGCATGTTTGTATACATATACAAGGTAATAATTGATCACTTCGTATTGTTATGTCGCAACCCTTGGAACAGTATAAGCCCACCATCTTGATAACTTCACTGCTTTGGGTAACTTCGGCCCGTACAGTAGTGAAGGGAAAGAAAAAGTTTTAGAACGTCTACAAACTTTGGTCATCCAGGGCCGAGTGCTACCGCGCGTCGTCTTTCCTTATTCTCCTCGGAAGAAGTAGATTCTACAACTAAATTAGAACGGTTAACAAAGCAGAGATTTCTCACGCCACACGTCTAATCCCTCGCGCCCAGAAACCACCTCCTTTTGACTGCTACTCTTTCCTGACGAATGAACGATGATCGATCGGTTCAGTCTCATCCCCAGAGGCCATTGTGAGCTCCTCCTCCATTCACACTGCTCGTTGGGTTGTGTCGTGTGCCTTTTCGTGGCCCAGACTGAAAACGGAATGAGATACATTCACATTTTGGAAAAAAACTGTTCTCTAGCAAGCCAGCCACATACCTTGTTACCAGGCTCTGCTCTATTGTAGAATGACGGCATTGGTGTTGCTTTGAAGTTTATGCTCTTGCGGAACTGCTTCATCTCCGCTTCCAACTTTTCCTGCACTTATAATGTGTAAGCTGTTTGACTTCATATGTACATGCACATCTATAACATATTTAGATCAGGACAGATAACCCTTTTCAGTCCGGTTCAAAGTGTTTCTCTTTCTTATTCACATACAAAGATAAGATAGGGTACCTGTGTTGTTGCCTGGACTCTGTTCGTCTCAACTTCTTTAGCATGTATTTTCTCCTCCAGCTTCATATAGAACTGAAACCATTAGGAACTTTATAAGCTGCTAAAACCAACATCTTTCTTACACAGAAAAAAAAAACTGGTTTGCGCGTAGTAAGACCTCTTTTCTCTTTTCAGCTCGTTCGCCACTTTTGAAATGGAAACCAACAGTACCAGTCCCCTTCTGTTGCTTAGCGGAGTCAATTCCAAGCTTGCACCTTCATGTATAAAACTATTAGACGGGCATGAGTGGTAGTTTCAATGTCTTGGTCACCTGGAAAAAATGGTGCAGTATTGGTTTGGACCTGTTTGTAGCCAGAGGAGTTCGGCTCCCGGTTTTCTTCAAAGTCAGAGGTGGAGATTCCACGGTTTTGACAGTTCTCTTTGGCCTTAATTCCTTTTCACTGCCAAAGAAAAAAGAAGCCCGTCAGCTATTAACTCAAGAGAGAGTAACCACCGTAACATCACTTCTTTATGGGAAAAATATCAAAATACCTCTTACTATGGATTTTTGAAGTAGAAGATAGAGAACCCTTTGCTCTTCCAAGAGAAGCTTTTTCCGATGTGTTCTGTACCTTTATAGAAGCTTTAGTCGATTCAGGTGGAACACGTTTCTCGAAATGCCTGGCCTTTTCCCAAGATTTCGGTCGGGGAGCAGACAAGGATCCTTTTGAAGCACGGAGAGGCTGTTGGGGCGGACATTGAAACCCAAAATTTACATGGCTGATTTTTATCACAGTGAAAAAAATCAACAATGTGGGAAAGTAGTCACCTTTGGTGGAACATCTTGACCACGCTTTGATCTTGTTTGTTCAGCCGCGGCACAAGGATCAACAGACTCAGCTGAGGGTTGTTCATCCATACCTCCGTCTTTTACCACAATATCTATAGGCATCTCCGGACACCTAAGTTCCTCACAGTTATCTTCTTCATCAACGCTTTCCACTGAAACTTGAGTACTGTCTAAAGCAACATCTTCTTTATCAATAAGCTCAAGTGCAACATCTGAACTCCCAAGGCTATCATCATAACTGGCGCAATGATTACTTTCAACAGCGCCCTCCATCCCTTGATCACAAGGACTGTCAAACTGGCCCGTGTTCTCCGGATCAGACTCACAAAAAATGTTTCTTTCGGGCACGTAATAATCTTCTTTTGCGTTAACATCATGAGTTTGCTGAAGTGCCCACATCTGATCTTGCAATGAACCTGGAAATCGAATCCCCTTTTTCTTGAAATGAGCCTCGAAATAGGCTTTCTTCTGAGTAACTAAGCCGGGCTTAGAACACTTCTCAACCTCTTCAAGATACCTATTGTGGGAGAAGGATGACCTCCTCTCCCATGACAAAGATTCATTCTCGAATCTTCCGAAAGATATGGATCCTGAGTGGATAGAAATAGCCTGCAACAGCTCCATTCAGACACATTTATAAGAAAACAAACATATAGAATGGAACTGCGCGACTAAGTCCACAAGTGAAGGACTCATGTCAAGTTTTTCATCAAGTCCTTCCCAAATCCTAACAATACTGAACATCTGCCACACTGTATGGCAAGCTTTCGAAACTTGATCGTCAACAAAAACCGCAAACACAGCACGTGTCGCGAATGCTAAGTCGAATCACATGAATCTAGACCATACTAGATATTGAATTCAACGATCTCATCTTTCCAAAGACAATTAACCTTCACCATCAATTGTGAAATAAAAGGCGGAGTCTAGCAAAATTACTTCCTGTAAATTACCGTGAAAAGGAAGGCCAAGAGACCGAATTAACCATGGAAATCCAGTTTTTGTTCTTTGTAGATAAAAATTAAAGCAGTGAAGGAGCAATACCTGGAAGCTTAGGCGAAACGGCTCTTCAATCTCCCTCGCCATCATTGGTTATTGGAAAATTTCTAACATTCCTGCTTTCTGAAGTAGAAGCAAATAAGAGAAGATGGGTTAACAAGGAAAAAGAAGAGAACAGAGAGAGAGCAGAAGGCCATGGTTTGGAGAAATCGGGGAAGGAGAAGTTGCGTGGGAATATATCGCGAGGTTGGAGGAGAAGACATGTGAGAAGAAGATTAGAAAATGGATCAATCACGTGCTTTCTTGGAGGCGGGTTTTTGTCTTGTCCTCCCACGTTCTCTGTTATCACGGTCGTTGGCGGGAACGGGAGATGACGGCGGTTTTCTCTTGTAACGGCGTCATGATCTGGATCCGAGGGGCAGGCCTCCGCCACGTCACACTCCCCCGACCTCTAACTTTTTTTCCCTCCTGCAATTTAATTGTGTAATTTTATAGGGGGAAATAGCTCAATTGTATTTTATTCAGAATATAAAAAAAAATATATATATATATATAGATATACCTTGCGCGAATGGGCCGTCCAGAACTCGAGGAAGCAACGAATGTGCGGTAAACATGGTGAGAGGTAGGCGAAAAAAGCAAAAGCTGCCACGTGAAATGCGGATGAGTAACACAAAACGTCCACGACGGTCCAAGTGGCCAAACCCCATGCACACACCCCTCACTCTATTTTATTTTTATGGGAAAGAGGGAGTATACGTGTCGTGGATTGAATACATATTTATGAAAATACGGGATTATACTCGATTGTCTGAATAAAAAGTGATCGATGCATGCACGTTCGTTTGTTAAAAGGTGAGGATCAAGAAAGAGATAATTTCGAGGTGGAATCGATCGAGACAAGTTTAATTACACATCGAATTGCCACGTGGCGTGTCGTGAATCGTTTTGTTGTAAAGTTTATGTGCGCTACTATAGACCAAGTCGGTGTGAAATTAAGGAAGGAAATCTTGACGGCTGAAAGGGGATCCACAACCCGATGGGTGGGTCCCACCAAACCGACCCTCACGACATTACATGTGATAATGTTAATCAATTATACAATCATGTGCATCAAACTACGAACTTGATAAATCCATTAGTTGGATCTGGTGGTCGAGAGATAACAAAGTTATTTCGAGATTTTGAATTCGACCGTTGAAAATGAGAGAATGCAATTAATTGTGTGACTAAAAACTGGTTTCGGATTCAAGGATTAAATGGACCAAAAATTCAGTTAATCTTCTAATTATAAAAAAAACTACGAACAATTGATACAAGTTTATTATGTGGCATGAGACCGTAACATGCAGATTCATGTGAATGTGATGGTTCCTCCATGTCCATTGTAAGGAGTCTCTTCTGTTCTGGCTGAATTCCAAAGTTCTAAAACTCTCCTTGCCTAGTTCAATGGATGGTCCCTCATCACCCAAATCCTATTGGTAATTTTTTTTTCCCAAATTCAAAAATTCAACGTCTCAGTCAAAATTTATTGAAAACGACCTTAATTCACAAGCTTTTGGATGATTTTTTTTCAGGAGATCATTTTTTTTAAAGCTTCAAAAGATGTCAGATTTAGGTAAAACGTATTTTTGTTGCTTTTTCTTGATATATTAGGATTCCAACAACAATTGTATATAAATATTGGTAATCGTATGTTTGCTGCATGTTCTTGATGTATTCGGATGTCTTTTGCTTTAAATGTTTCGGGTCGTTTAATGCTGAAACTGAAAGGCCCAAACTTGTTACATGGGCAGATCTGATCGAACCCAATCCTTTTTTTTCCGCCCATTATTTGGTGGATTGGGTCTAACCCCATCGGCTAAACCCACGGGTTGTATAAAAATGTGTTGAACGGCGCGGCCGACTGCGCGGGGATCGTCGTCATCAGCCATGGTTATGTCTCCGAGCCCGACAAAGCCGATCACGAAAGCTTGCTGGTTTTGGATTCCTCCCACCCCATCTCCAGATTCTCATGCATTTTCCTCCCAACATAGGAATTAATTTCGACGAAATTCTATATAGATCGATCCTCATGAAACGCCTACGTGACACGAAGTATTCGCTTAACATCTCTATAAACTCATTTTAAACTCTGACCCAACATTGTTTAACAAATAAACCCTAGACCTCACAGATTCGTGCCTACAATTTAAATTTTGGGCCCAAATCTATTCATGATCCAGACGTAAAATTCGGCCTACACCGGAATTGAAATGAAATGATATGCATTGACAAAGAAGAGATACGTACGATGATGATAATGATGAATTTGTTCCCACTGAAAATCATTATTTTGGAAAACACCTCCTTAAAAGAGATGACCGGGCCTTATGACTTGTAAGCAATAGGAATTGGACATACACTTCTTTTATCCATTTTCCGTCGGTAGAAACGTTGCCATCCTCGATAAATCTTTATTTTACAAAAATATGAGGTATAAATTTAAATCGTAAACATACTCTCACCTGAAGAGAGACATTCACATGGATTTACTCGATTCTCTTAAAGATTTAATCGAGTCAAAGATTTTGTAAATTTTCGGATTATAAAAAAATGCTGTAATAATTTTTTGGGCCGATATAATAGTATTTATTGGGAAAAAAATGAAGGTGTTAACCAAATGGAAAAAAGAAAAGGAACCCATAGCCCAAAGCTCCATCGTTGTCCATAGTTCCGCCGACACCCATCTCCACCTCTCCTCTCTCCTCCTTGTTCCTTTAATTTTATTTCATTATATATATATATATATATATGTCAATGAATGAAATGGAAAAGGAAATGTGCCAGGGGGATGCAGCCACGCACACGAGGACACTGCCATATGCATTTGCTCTCTTCCCGACCCTTCCGACCATATTAATTCTTCGTGTATTTATTTATGCACCACCTTATCATCCATGTCCCCTCATACCATAGAAAACCATGTCATGTTGTCATTGGAGATGCAAATAGATCGATGTGACCCAGAAATTTCATCCCATTTTTTTCCTAACGTGCCCATGCCTCACATGTATATATATAAGTAGATTATGAAATTATTTTACAAAAATACTATATTATAAAATAGAGAATATATATTAATTTATCAATCATCATATACATACCACATAAAAACTTAACCTGAAATTTATAACATACCTGAATATATTATAAATTGACAAATGACATAGTGTACATAGAGTTCTTTTAGTTTATAACGTAAAAAAAAATATTTTCTGACAACAAATGGTTATTATCAGATTTCATACGTTTAGCCTAAAGACTACTATTACTATTTATAATAATATGTTTGTGTAATTTTTAAATTCACCCATAAAAAAATTATAAAATTACACATCATGATATTTATATAATTATTTGACCCTTATATTTTTATGTATTTACATATTAGACCACACGCAATTAGTTGTCATAATTTTCTGTAATAATTCATTAAACAATAATTATACCATATATATTGATTATGACATTAAACCAAAATATAGTTGTTAGAGAATTTTTAACAGATTATATGATATCGTACAGTATGCTCATTTGCTATATATATATATATATATATATATATGTTACATGCATGCATGTTAGAATACGGATATGTGGACAGAGATTACACATTATAAAGCAAATGAGCATACTGTACGATGAGAGAGAGAGAGAGAGAGAGAGAGAGAGACAGGAGAGGGTCTCATCCCTATCAGCTCCTTGTTATCCACACATATTCCTCGACAGGTATGATGTGATTTCTTCTTCGACATGTTGACAACTAATTCCAATTGTTGTTTTCCCACTCCAATGCCAAATGTGTTTACTCCGAATTTATTATTGCCTTTCTCTCCATATTTTCACCCTTTTTTGTTTGTTACAATGTTAAATTTTATCCTCAAAGATTCTATATCGACGAAACGAAGGAATAATAATGGTCACAAGTTTGTGTACATACTAAGAATGTCGTTGTGTGATTTTGGGCCATACAACGTGCAAGTGGTAGGATTTATTCTAAACAAACACTGTTAAATATCATGAAAAAAAATACCTTTGTTTTCTTTACCGTGTTATATATCACCGTAACATATTTACTTCGAAACCCCTATTTTGTGGTTAGATTTCACGATGAATATTATTGGAACAAAACTTACTAAGGAAAAAAAAAACCTAAGAACATGTAAAAGCCCAATAGGGGGAAAGTGATCAATACAATGGACGTGTAAGAAAAAAACAAAGGAGACGGGGAGAGAGAGAGTAACGATAGAGAGAAGGTGCCAAGGAAGGCACTGAAGGGAATGGGCAGAGAGATTAATGATAACGTTCCAACAAACAGAAGAAAGAAGAAGAGAACCAGACAGCTGCATATCTTGCCATCAGACACACCACTCTCACTTTCTTGTCATCCCCCCCGTTTGCTTTTCTAAGATCTGCCATTCCTATCCAACGCCCTTATTTGCCCTCAATTAATCAACGAGACTATCCATTTTACCACAAAAAAAAAAAACATTATAAAGACCTGGGTATTATTTTTGGGTAATCGGATGTCCTGTGCCGAGATTCAGACCAATTTCAGGATTGAGAGCAAACCATATGATTAGAATATGCGTCCATTTTACCAATTTAAGGCTCGAACTCGGAAATACGTGGGAATTTCTTTTATCATGATGACATTTTATCATTTTATTGATCACATTCGTAAATATTGTGAAACTTTGTTTTACGGCACAAAGGAGACATAGCCACACACACACACACAAAAACATGCCCTTCTCCGACAATAGTTGCGAGGTTTTGTTCCTTCTTCTTCAAAGTCCAATACGGTAGGAATCATAGTAGCTGCGGCATCTGTACCTTGACTTGCTTTGTGGAATTATCGCAAAAAAAAAGTTACACCTCGCTACTATCCACTTACATATACTTCCAAAAGGACGAGAAATTTCGCAGACAAATTTTTATAATTCCATCAAGATTTTAGCAAAAAACAAAGAGGGTGTATTTTATTAATATTGAATCAATTAGTGTGGGGTCGGGGGGAGTCAATTACGGCTTTTTTGCGCAACGCACGTTGGTCTAAGACGCCAAGTGCGTTGAGAATGGCGTGCTAATTTCGATGATCAACCTCTTAGTTAGTATTTGTTTTTGGACTAAACTAAGGCGTATGTCCCCTTCCAGTTCACAGGATGTCTTAAAAATATACGACGGGGAGGAAAAAGAAAGAAGAATGGCTTCGGATTCCGGGTGGTGAGAAGAACTCGGACCATCAATAAAGTAGCAAAAGCAGCTTTTCATGCTTTTCTGCTTTTGACTTTTTCGAAAGAACTTTATGCCTCTTTTTTATAAATTTAATATTTGGGATGTTAAGTAATGTTTTGTTCTTTATACCCCCCAATCTCCGAGCCTCCAAGTCCACATCAACAGCTTCAGTGCTAAAGCGCCTAACCCATTCATTATTCCTCACTTCACCAATTACCTACGCATTTAAAAAAAACACTAACCTTTTGATTGCAAGTAAAAACGATTAAAGACATCTATCCTTCATTTTTGTGCACAAGTGGGTGGCGCTTTGAAAAAAAAAAGGAACAGGGTCACAAGATGCAAGTGCAAATGATCATCATTCCTTGTTCATAACTACAAGTTATTACGGATGCATTTAAGTTTTTCTTACTGTGAATAACAAGTTGCACAATCATCATCATTTTTTTTTTAATAACTATAAGGTTCATTAAACCGGGGCAACTTCTATTCTACCGTCAATGTCAATGTGTTACATCAACATCTACACCTACCCTCCTTTTTTTAAAAAAAAAATTCCAACTTCTATTATACCCTATTCAATATATAAAGACTAAAATACCCTTTTATATTTATTTTTTAATAAAAAAAATTTCTTCCTAACATTTAGGATTTAGTTTTCTCTCTCCTCTCTTTCTTGTTTCTCTCTTCCGCTTCTCTCTCTCTCTCCGAGTTTGGGCTCTCTCTCTCTCCTATACTTTCTCTCTCCTCCTATTCTTTTGATTTTTTCTCCAAAATTATTAGAAATCAAAGCAAAATCAGTTCAATATTAATGACGAAATTACAAAAAGATAAGCAATTGTGAAAATTTTATTATTTTTCATGCACATTGGTGGTTATTGGTGTGTATTTAATGAACAGTGATGTTTTTTTCACTTTTTTCTTCTAGTTTGTTGATGTTTCTAAAGTTTTTTTCTTTTATAATATATAGTCAAAGATCTGGGTCGGATTTATGTTTGAGATATTGTTTTAGAGTATCACTATGCACAAAAGTTTGGTTGCAATAGAGAAGAGTTGATGACATGACCACACAGTCACACAGTCACATGATCACATAGTAACATGGTCACATTAATCACATGTCATTAGAATAATGGTTTTCACAGGTTTCAAGGATGACATGATATTATCTTTCATGGTCACATGGTACTATGTTTACATGGTCACATGGTACTATAATAACATGGTTACATGGTACTATGTTCACATGGTCACATGGTATCATGCTAATATGATCACACAGTCACATGATCCATAATAGTAAGATTGATAATAATGATCACAGGGTCAGTGTTTCACATGTTCACATGGTCCTGAATAATCAAAATGATAATAATGGTCACTTGATATTATGTTCGCATGGTCACAGGGTTCAGAATAGTTGAACTGAGATGCATTTTGTATTTGTGTTTTTTACAGTTACGATGGACGGTCAAGATAAAAGATCGATAATTATATAATTTCCGTATGGCGGTAGGTGGATAGTGAATAAAAATAGAGAATATGAATGGAAATGAAACTTTATGGAAAACTATTTCTGTTGTCTCCCCTGTGAGGTAACCTTCAATGAACTTGTTCGAGAGTTATGTGGTGAGATGAAGGTAGAGAAAGATAAATGGAGATCAGTTGAGTTATTTTTCAAATGTCAGAGAAAACATAAATGCGACTTACGTATGGAACAGGAGTATCAACATCAACAAAGTTTGAAAGAAACCCTAATTTTGAATGAATAAAGAAATATAAATTGTATAATAATTTTATATTATATCTTTACACTAAAACATTAAGACCTTTGTATTGTATTAAAATAATGGATTATAATACTTTGGTTTCATTCTACATATTAAAAAATAGTAAATAATTTATCTCATATGAGTAGTGGTTGGGCCCCATGTGACCAGCATGTGACCAATGTGACCAATGTGCAATTTTACACTATGTGACCATTGTGACCGGATGTGACCTGTGACCAAGTGACGAAGGTAAATACAAGTGGAAACGCATTTTTCAAGCTTTGGTCTATTATTATAATGTATAAGGAACATAAATATTATGTTGATGACAAAATTACAAAACATTAAAACGAGGAGTTTGTAATGTAAAAAGACCAAAATTGTCAAAATTCTTCATAAAAGACTATGAACACCAATGTATCACATTTGTGAGAACTACTTTTGCACACAAAATTCGAATAACTCAATTATTATAGTTCAAAATGGTACATATGGAAGTTGTGATGACAATCACATCGATTCATTTGAAAGAATCCACTAAATCGACCATTGTGACCAATTGTGACCAATTGTGACCCATTGTGACCAAAATATTGTGGGTCCCAGTTTAAACATGCAATATTCCTGGTAGGGTCTAATATAGTCTAAGTGTAGAAAAAAGCTACGGTTGATAATTCAACCCTGATTTCGGTGGGGCCTAACATTTTTAATCCAAATTTTTTACCCTCAAATATTTTTCAACCCAAAATTTTTTCCCTCCAAAATTTATCAACTCAAATTTTTTACTTTCCAATATTTTTTACATCATATTTTGTAATATCTATAAACAAGTTCAGATATAAAATAAACATAAAATATAATATCATAATATATAATTCTGTAGATTTATAATAAACAAATAAAAAGACCATATTTAGGGTTCATAACAAAAATAAATAAGTTCTTGATTCTACACCGCACTCACAACCATTGTCATTCTTATCATTATTGTTGTTGTTCTTCTTCTTCTTCTTCTGCTCCATCATCTTCTACTTCTTCTTCATTTATCACACTTTTTTCCTTCTTTTTCTTCTTTTTCAAAGACTTTCTCGAACAAATTTTCAAGTCATGAACTTTCTTCCAATATATGCTTTCCGGATTCTTGTATAGAAATTGCATAAAAACCTAATCTTTCGATCTGAATGTCGTTGGAGCCATCTTCAATGTCCTATCGAATTGCATGTGAAACAAGTGTTGGAACTGCGATTCATTATTGAAGTACCTCCATTTTTCGAAGAGAACTAAATTTCTTCCATTCTATATATAAAAGACAACTGCAAATCAAAACAAATTGATGATATCATGTGACTTGAGACCATGTAACCAAGTCACTTGTGACTATGTTACTTATTGTTTTGTGACCTTGTGAACTAACTGATCTCGTGACCTTGTGGAATCCAGTTTTCATATGCAATGTTTCTGGTGGACTCAGAATCATCCAAGTGTACAAAAATATTATTGTTGACAAGTTACCTGATTTTTTTCACCACATAATGTGCTTCGTGAAAATAGTGTCACTAACCATGTATTGCTTCCTATGTCATCACTTAATTTTTTTTTCACCATTTTATTGACAGTTATAAATTTGGAACAATTCATATGCTGTCTCCTCAATGTGTTACAAAAAACATATGTTAGCATTATTCATTATGTCACCATGTGACCGAGTGAACATGGTACCATGTGACCGAGTGAACATGGTACCATGTGACCGAGTGACCATGGTACCATGTGACCGAACGAACATGGTACCATGTGACCGAACGAACATGATACCATGTGACCGTTTGACATGATATCTATGACTATATAACTTGTGACCTGTGACCATGTGATGCGGGATAACTTATACATTTACAGTATATGTGAACCATATTCTGACTTGCAGACTAAGTGACCAACAGACCATGTGACCAAATATGACAAACTCTCATATGATCATGTAATATGGTACTATATGACCAGTTTAACATAGTACCATGTGACATTACCAAACCAATGTGAAATCTGTGACCAAGTGACCGAAGACCATGTGACTTTTTTTCTTGTGAAAAATAGAAGTAATCTACCCGGTGATCATTTAGCTCAGCAATTTGCATTCAGTTTTCGGTCTCATTCGAAGATGCCGATGAAGATGAGTCTTGGGCTGATGTAGAAGCCTTGTTTTGTCTGCGGTGTAACTTCTTCTTTGAATCGCATGAGAGTTTTACAAATAGCGATAGATTCAAACTATTCTAAATTTTGGATAAAGATTCGATGGTTCCAAAAGAGAGAGAGAGAACAGATATCAAGAGTTAGGAGAGAGAAAATTTTGAGAGCTAGAAGAGAGAGAAGAGATAGAGAGAACATATAGCAAGAGTTAGGAGAGAGAAAATTTAGAAGAGAGACAAGAGAGAGATCGTGAGTTTAGGAGAGAGAATATAACCTATCTTTTTGTTTTCTAATTTTTTAAATTGAGAGGAAGGGTTTTTTTGTCTTTCTAAACTTTTACAAGGGTTTAATTGTCTATTCAATTGTTCAGCACTTTTTTTTTTTAATTTCGATTTTGAAAGGTAGTAAGAGAAGTCAATGTAGCAGGTAGAAGGTACTTTAGATATTTACCCCTTTAAACCTTCAATCCAATACCTTGACATGATTTTACCATCTCAAAAGAATATAAAAAAAACCTACATTTTTGTATTAATTAAGAACCTACAAAAGGATAGATTTGAGAAGAAACCAATGCCAGTTGTCCAAGGATTTTAACAGCAACCCGCCAAAACCTAATTTAGAACGCATTAGACATTTTGAAAAAAAATAAGAATAAAAAAAAAGTTCCTTCTTCATGGGGGGTTGTATCTTGTTTTTCTCCCCTCCAGAGCCTTCTCCAAAGTCATGCACTCAGTAAATCTCCATAAAATGTCGGACAATAAAAGGCCTTTTTTTGGTTGGCATTTGAAGACTATCTTCCTCTGTAGTTGATCAACACCCCAAGTGCTTGCTTGTCCCAAAGTCCAACTCCACTTCATCACCTTCCAGTGCTTACAACCCGAGAAGGATGTAATATACGAGCGTGATCGGCAACGCAATAAGCATTCCGAATATTACCCTGCACGCCCACTCCCCGTTAATTTACAATCGATCGGATTGCGATGGACTTCGCATCTATTACTGCTTCAAACTTACCCTGTACTCAAGATTGCCGGATGAACGTTATACTCCTTCGCAAACACAAATGGCACAATTCCTTGAGGCAGCGCTGCCTACAAATCAATTATCATCATGCATATGCTGGAATTGTGGTTACACCAGAAGAACAGTTAGGGTTTTTAAATCACCTGGACGATGGCCACACGGAGAAGGTTGCCGCGCAAACCTATGGCCATGGCGGAAATAGCCATGACGGCAGGCCCCGTCAGGAATCTGACGGCCATGGCGAATGTTGCCACGGAGTTACCGCAAGCGATGATCTTTGGTTGCAGCGCCATAAACAGCCCTTCACGATTTTCACAGACAGCACATTCATTGTTACCAATCACAATTCATGTGTACATGTGTATTATCTAACTCCAATCAACTTCCACTAATAAGTATGGGGACCATCTCGACACGAGCCCATGTCGTCCACCACTACACGACGCCGCACCGCTGCCCCACATGTCGGGTGGTCCATCCAATTTTCTCAGCCACCCCTTTAGCTCAAATTTAATTTCACACGTCGTCGTATGTAGTAGGGGCAAACCGAAAAACACGGGAACTCGTGGACTTGGATCAATCTCCAAATATAAAGAAATACGAAATTCTGTTATGAAATGGAGATTTAGTATCCAGAAATTCATGTGGGTTGTTTGCGTGCTATTAGGTGATGGACTGGATTTTCATTGGATAAATGGTTTTGAAATTGAACCTGAAATTATTTAGTAAAAAAAATAAGAGGAGAGGACGGACCCAAACTGAACATTGCCATTCCGAGGCCGGCGTCAGAGAGGATGGAAATGGACTGCTGAATGATCTTAGGCATGGTGACATGCCAGCGGAAAGCAACGAGAGCCCAGATGAGGCCGATGAGGGATGAGTAAGTGTTTGGGTTCCTTATGAGCTTCCTCCACACCATTATCAGTATGAGACGAGTCATCACGCTCGCCGGCGGCATCTGCTTTCCTCCGCCTGCTTTTGGTTGCAGCTCCGTCGTCCCCTCCTTCCCTCTTTCCGCCTCCTCTTCTCCAAAGTCTCCGCTCGCTGCACTCCCAACAATTACTATATCAGAATCAGACTTCCATTAACAAGTAATGGACAACCTAACCCCCGAGTTTGAGAGAACGACCTTTTGTTTCGCCGTTCTCGGGATGATCGGGCACCAGCATCCGAATTTCCTTGGCGCCCTGATCGGATCTTGCAGGTTGTTCGTTGAAAACGTGGAGACCCGCCCGGTCGGAAACGGGGGAGCCGCTGGAGCTCCAAACGAACATGTGAAGCTCCTTGGCGTCATGGTTATTCCCCTTCCCGCTGCTCTGCTCTTTCTGGGTCTTGTTGCCTGTTTTAGTGAACTCCGGGTTGGGAGCCGGGTAAGATCCAGCAGCGCCCGGGTAATACCCGAATCTCGGGGAAGAGTTCTCGTCGAAGTTGGAGGGCCGTGGAGTGGGACCCCTGGATGACTGGACGGAGTACATATCAGCCGGCCCGAAATTGGAGAGACGGCCGCCGGGGAAACCCATCATGGAGTAGAAGTCTGATTGGTTGAAATTGGAGCCTCTGGGAGTGGTACTGAGGCTGTATATCTCCGCTCCCGTCAGATTCGATGGCCGAGGCGTCATCGTCGCCCCGCAAAACGACCTCCGCGACGCGTTCGACTTCCTCACCGTCACGTGCAGCTTACCGTCGTCCCCTATCTCTGCGTCCGTTTCCAGAAAATCGTGGCCGTCAAGGGAGACAACGTCCGATTCTACCTTGAAGGAGACGATGGAGGCGGCGGTCTCAGGGAACTGCTCCATGATAAGGATCTTGGCTCCACGGTACTCGAAGAGAAAGAGAAGAAGAGTGTACCAAATGATACACTGAAGGACTACGATCTGGACCATGAGGGAGCCGGAGTAGTCGCCGTACATGGCGATGAGGAGAGGGATTCCCATGACGAGGGTATTGGGAAGCGTGGAGAGGGAGAAGATGGTGATGCTCCACTCGAGGCTGCCGGAGCGAGTGAAATTGGCCCAGAGAGCCAAGAGAAAGAGCATGATGACCTTCTGGAGAGTGTCGGCGGCGATGAAGCGGAAGTTCATGGCGTAGGGGTTGTTGGTGGAGATGAAGTGGAAGGAGAGGAGAGGGACGGCGAAGATGGCGACGAAGCGGTTGATTCCAGAGCACTGGTCGGGAGAGAAGATCTTCCACCACCGCACTGACCCGTAGGCGAGGATCATGGCAACGTACAGCGGAACCACCGCCGTCAACACGGTGTAGAGGTCGTGCCACGTTATCATCTCCGCCGACTGTCTTCAGCTTGACGGAGAAGATCCCGACTACTGCGGGTAGAGAGAGAGAGAGAGAGGTGCTGTGGAGTGGATATGATTTCGCCACGGACGCCACTTTACAGCTATTTATACAGCAACTCATATGCTGCTTGTTTTTTTTTATGAGACTGTGAATTCATCTATTTCTGTATAGTCACATTTTATTTTGGGCTCTTTAGTCTTGACGTGGCAGATGCTCTCATTTTCTAAAATTTGTTCGAGGGGGTTTGTATTGCATTGGCAGTCAATTTCATGAGTAAACCACGTGTGGATGAGCCATAGAGAAGGCATTGCTTCTTCTTTTTTATTTATTATTATTTAAAATAGGAAAAGAAGCATCCATCCCGACCCATTCCCAATCACACCAACCGATCACACTTTGTCCGTATAATCCCCATGATCTACTAATGCTTTCCGGATCAAACATATAAATTTTTTTATAATGAGAAGGTTGGTTACGTTTTCGGCCCACTTAATCTTTTTTATTTCGAAATCAGTTTTTAGTCATGCAATTAATTGCGTTCTACCTCTACACTAATAAAATCGAATCCAAAATCTCATAACTTCTTTGTTACCTCTCAATCACTGGACCATCAATTAGCGGGTAATCAACGTATAAATTTAGACAAGATTTTCTATTCAACATAACTTATAAGATCATTATCTTTCTATTAAAATATTGTAATTAAAAATACCATATATAGGGAGTGCTGGTAAGCATGATTTAATAAGAACCATGTATTCGGACAAAGTGCCATATGCATACATGCTGAGATTGAGAACGTCGTTATCTTCTTGGTTCTATACAAAAAGATTTGGTGCATCAATCAATTCTTGAATACGCCCAACAACATAGATGATTAGCAGATGAGAGAGAGAGAGAGAATCCGCATTGGATCTGCTTAATCGGTTTCTGTTATCGTTATCTGACTGGACTTTATTGGTTAAACAATGAACCATGACTTGCAAAAACATGATCTGTTTGTCAATGAAAGAATATGTGGCGGCGATCGTATTAAAAGATGAATTGAAAAAAAAAATCAGGTGTATGGAATGCGTGGATATTTAATTTCGGCCGAGTGTGGACGGTTGTTGTCGCAATTATTTGTGTTGAAACTACGCATGTGATTATGATTTATTTCATAACACATCTTTATTGGTTACTGAAATTAACATTTTAGCTACCTTACAGTTAATCTTAGATTCGATCCCAGTCATCTCCAAGCCACAGTTTTTTTATTTATTTTACATTTAGCTCTTGAAGTGACACGACAATATGTACATATATATAGTAATGTAAGATGCGGCTTTGTAATCGTGTAGGAGGAGAATCTTGAAGTTGATTGCGGCTAATGAGGTGAGGCCACGTGTATATGGTCAGAAAGCTTAAAAGACAGTTCACATTGATGTCCATACAGACTCCACAACCATAATAAAAGCACGTGATAGGCACATGCAGATGCCAGAGTGCGTCTTCTTCAACTCCACAACACACATTCCTCTGACATCACTCGACTTCACTTGTCTGCGCAGTGGTACCCTTCTCAACGTAAAAGGTCATTTTAATTTTCTTCGTGACGTTCCATTACGTCCGCAAAAAGAGACCCAATTCATACATAATATACATACATATATATATATATATATATATATATGTATGTATTACTTTGGCTATGTACGCCTGTGAAATGAAATTGAACACAAAAAAGAGAGAGAAAAAAGTGGGCTGTCATTTCAAGTGGCCCATTGGGCCTTTTCTTCACGGGAGCCCTAACCCCTTGATCGACGTAGGCCCGCGAAACTTATCTTCTCAACCCTCCGTTCATCAAAAACCAAATCTTCCGAGAGGTTCGAAGATCAAAGGAATCTATCTACACATTGAAGCAATCATCACGTTCTTCTTTGACTCGTGCTTTTAATATCCAGAACGATCCTTAAACCGGAATATATGATGTAAATATTATAGTGATGAAGAGGATCATCCGGTATAGTTTGGTCCCATAACCCGGCAGCTCCATTATAACAGCAATTTGATTCTCATCAAATTAGATTAAACAACAATTGGATAGGATGAAATACTTCCGCACTTCTGTACTGTCACTTGGTTATACATTAAAATATCTCAATATTCCCATAACTCTATAATAACTACATAATTGAAGTAAAACTATATATTATATTGAATATTCCGTGTGTATATAATATATATATATATATATATATATATTATAAACATCGGAAAACGTGGTCTTTGGTCAAAATTTTCAGTAAAAGAAATTACAATCATAGATGGATTAAGGTGAAATATGTTTCTTTGCTTCATTACCAAATTTATGTCGACTTTTTGATGGCCTCCTCCGTTCTGGCCTATATCACCTCCTAAACAGTCACGATTTCTACCACGCCACTGTCCTCGACCATGACTCCAACCATGTTTTTGCTTCCATTCACAACGTGCGAATAACATTTGTCCATCATCTCTCGAATCGAGATCCTTTAGACATTCTTCATGCATCTTGAGCGATCCCTTCAAGCTACCTTCTTTTTCTTTGGCTAAGAAACTTTCGAAATCAAGATTCGAAATAGACTTCCTTGATGTCCGTATCCGTTAAATCTCTATTTTCGAAGTTAATTAGAGAAAATTTTTCAATATAGACGTGAGAATCTTTTCGACCACATGAATCTCTACTGTCCCTCCCAAATGCCTTATGTAGCTTAGGACACCAAATAACTAATAAGTAAATTTATCCACTGATTCGCTTTCCTTCATTCTAATCCCTTCAAGTCCTCTTTGCAAAAATTGTACTCGCTTTTTCTTATTTCGAACAACTCCTCTAGATGCATAGTTTTGAAAGCATCCCAAATTTTTTTTCCTGAATCTTTCTCTCCCATCTGTAGTATGTTGGCAAAGCTAATATGTCAAGTTGCAGATCAATCGGACGAACTTTCGATTCCACGATTTCTCACATGCCTTAAGCTTTCATATTGATCACCTTTTTTATTTCATCGCCCACATGACATAATTTGTCTATGACAGGATCACATACTAGAGAGTGATACTTCCTTCTCTTATAGACAATCTAACTTCCGTCGCAATATGACCACCATTACCATCATTACCTCTGATCCCAACGATCGATACTCATATATGACTGAGACATGCATTTACCGTGGTTTATACAATTAACCATTAACCAGACTCTAATACCATTTAGAAAGATTTTTAAAGTGAGTCTATAACAAATTAAGGAAGAACAGTATGAGTTTCTGTTTTTTTTTTGGGAAAGACCAAACATGATAAACACTGAGCCAGTTTTTATCAAAGAACAAAAATGACATCTAAAAACGAGAGAGAATATGCAAGTTTTTTTTCTTTTATTTGGCTCATCATACACGTGATCGGTGTGCTTTATTGTTTTATTTATAACCAAACTTTGACAACAGATTACAAACTGAAAATCAGCTGAACCAAAGGACACAAGCTAACACAACCCAAGAAACTCGGTCCACGCCACAAGACTTGGCCTTGTTCAAACTGATTAAAAAATTTATTCAATCGCCAAACCAAAACTTAACCGAAAAGGAACCAAGATTAGCCGAATAAGATTATAACCAACAAGTGTCGCTATTTCCATTTTTTTTCCCGGTGGGTGCCACAATATGGATGCACGGCAGCCTCTCTAACCAAATCTCGTCCAAAAAGATTAATTGCCTATTGGTCGCATTAAGGTGATTAGAAGGGTCAAACATTGAAATTCGAAACGAGAATGAAGGGTCAAAGAGAGGGGGTGACTCGCTCGCAGCGAGGGCACATGGTCAAGGAGGAGACCGACAGAGGTCGAGACGTGTCCGTCGGTGGCCCCATTTTCATAGCTCTTAGTTCTTCCACCTCTCTCTGTAGCCTTCGGTTTTGCTCCGTCAACGTCCCAAACCACCTCTTCAGGTATTCGCATTCCATCTCCGTCTGCTTTAGCTTACTCCTATTTTCATTTTCATTTATACACCATTTCATACACACACACACACACATATATATATATATCACTTTCTGATCATTTTGTCTTGAAAATTATTTCCGCAAATCTATTGAAATAATATCTATGGGGTTATCCTCCATTTCTTGTGTAGCTATGGACTTGTCCATTAGAAACTGTCAATCAATCAAATTTACCGCACAGATGAAATATTAATTAAATTTAACATGCATGCATACATATATGTGTATAAGTACATACACGTGTACCAGAAAACATGCAGATAAACAAATAAAAAAACATTTTTAAATAGTAAATGTCCCTGCGACATATCATTGATGGGATATCTATCTCGCAAGCATCATAATTGTGTACTGCCAAAGACGAGCTAATGAAATAAACACATCATTTATTGCCCTTAACTTTTGTCCCTCGTGTTTCCCCGTCAATATATATATATATATATAATACCTTTACCAGTTTCAAATCTAGTAGTTTAATCACGGGGCCTAAACATACATACATGACACGTACACAGACGCGAATATATGGTTTTAATTTTGCCATGCCATGAAGTATCATAGTTAATTTATAAACAAACACATCCATATTATTTCTGTTTTTAATTTTAAAAAATGAAAGTATATTAAAATGAAGGATCTTGATACAAGGGAAAAGACCAGAGCAAAAAAATCATAGAATCATGGACGTATATTTAGAAAGAATGCTATATCCCGTCCGTGTGTTAATAATGTTTAGGTGATGATTAAGTAGAAATCAATTAATGTGAAACACTTGGGGGAAAAAGGACCATTTCCACTTTATATATATAAAAAGTACATACATGTGTGTGTAGAAGTGCATGTACGTATGATAAATGTGTGTATATATATATAGTTGTGGGGAAAATCTAGATTAAGTGCATGTACGTGTATTTGAAGTTGATAATTAATTATACGTATGTATGTATCCATGTATTGAGAGAGAGAGAAGGGAGAAGGGTAAAGGTACCTAGCCCTGCGGTTTTGAAACCAAACCTCAACTTGGCGAGGACGAAGATTCAGCTGTAACGCCAGTTCTTGTTTCTGCTTCTGCGGCCGAAATTAAAAACTGTTTTTATGATGCGATTATTTATACGTACCGGTGGATCTATATATCCGTCAAGAAAAGAAGAAGGGGAGCGTGGGATGCGCACGTACAGGGTTTAAGGTGTGGTTCACTCTGAAGCTCTCCTCGAGAAGAAGAGACTGATCCTTTGTCAAACGCAGCTTCTTCCGAGTCGAACCGCCCATCCTCATCCACTGAGCATCGTCTTCCTCCTCTGCCTTCTCATTTATATCTAAATCTCTCGCCCCTGCGTGCGTTCCACAATAACTTCAGACACCCACCTGTCTTCTTTTCTTTTCTTTTTCCCATTTAAAAGGATCAGAGAAAAGGATGGAAAATAGATCATCATACCACACACATACGCGACTGTTTATGAGTTCCTTACCGGAAGAAGGGAGTTGAGAGAAGCCGGCCACTGATATTGTCAATTCTAATCTTGGAGAGTTCGATGGTGAGACAGACATGGCGGAAGAACAAGATACGGCCTACTAATTAACCCAACAAAACAAGGTAATAAAAGGAATAAGGGGTGAAAACTGGAAAGAAAAAGGGAAGCGTGGGTGAATCGAATTGACGAATAGACGTCACGACTCTCTCAAGAGAAAATGTAATGTTGAAGTTCTTTATACACGCATATATATATATATATATATACACACACATATATAAATATAAATGTTAACATACACGTGTGAAAGAACAAAACGAAAAGGCAAAATAAACGGACAAAGGTTTACAAGCAAAGTGGAATATGGGATAAGGAAGCCCAAGAGATATCAAAATCAATTCGAAAAAAAACGAAGAAGGTGAATGAATAATAAATGAAAAGGGTCAAAGTGAATGAATGAATAATAATTATTAAGATGAGAAATAAATGCCACTGTGAAGAGAGAATTTTGTTTGTTGGGGAGAGTGGGGTCCTAAGGGCGGTTTTGTAAGAATTTGACTCCTGTCGTCAAGTCAAATCTGACCAATTTTCATTTGGGGGAGTAAATTCTGGCTCTCTGTGGGAGGATACGGGACAGCCTTGCGTGTTTTGTGCTACTAAATCATTTTTTTTTATTTTTCCTTTTTTAGAAAAATAACGTATAAATACCTTAAATTTTATAAAAATCTCATATAAATACATAAACTATAAAACATCCATATAAATACCTGAATTTTTAAAAATTCTATATAAATATCTAGATTTTTTAAAAAAATTTCAAATAAATACAAATTTCAAATATTTTTTAAATAAAAATAAGTGATATTATTAACGTATTTTGAGTTTATTTGAAAGTTTTCAGAACTCTAGATATTTATATAAGATTTTAGAAAAATTCAGATATTTATATAGAAATTTTATAGTTTAGATGTTTATGTGAAATTTTTGTAAAAGTTCAAGTATTTATATGCGATTTTCTTTTTTTTTAAATTGGTATAGTTCTGTGTTGAGTTTGGCGATATCAAGACAAACCCACATACTCTAAAAATTCATGATGTTATTATTATTATTATTATTATTATGAAAAAAAAAAAGAAAAAGTCGTGATATTTGGTAGTGTCGGCTCAAAGGTCAGCTGGTGAAATGATTGGACCCTCGTCATACAAAGAATTATACACCAATATTTAAAAATTCACAGATGTATAATGTGTCACGCGGCGAGATGCTAACATATACAAAGAAACTACCTCGGCTCGTGATGCTGTTTTCGTCCGCGCAATTTTTCAATGTTGGATCAATTCTCGTATATGAATTTCCGGGACAGTAAATTAAATTACAAAAACAGTGAAATTATTTATTTTATTTTTTTACTTATGGATTCGGGGACAACTCATGAGAGGAAACGGAGTTATTGCGCGGGGTAGGCGGTTATTAAAGCATGATTAGAAATTTTAATGCGGAATTAATTGGGTAACCCCCAGCTTCTTTACCATTTAATCAGTCAAAATTACAAAAGGAGAGGAGAAAACGATGCACGTTTACGGATACGATGACAGACGGTTAAATTTCAATTGTAACCGCAACGTAGATCGACTTAAATTTCTTTTTACTCGTCCAAAACACACATCATTGTCACAAAACCTGAGAACGATACTAAAGTTGTACGACGTATACATACACACCTATTTACGTACGCACACATACATACATATCGTACCTGCGCATGAGATGAATGTTTGTCATCCGTACGCCAAAAATAACCGAAGTTCGATCGGGTGAATTGTTTTGTTTGATGGATAAAGCAAAGAACTTGGAGAACGTCCAAATCTTCCTTTATTTTCTTTTGTTTTTTTTTTTACCTTTCGCTGCCCAACCCTAGATGATCTATGTTCCCGTACAAACATGATGGTGCTTTCGAAATTCACGCATTTTTATTAACAGGTCTAGATCTCGGGAAAAGCTTGTGTATTCTGTCCGTATCAAACACGTACATATACAATTCAAAATTTAGCTAAACCTAGCAAAATAAGGAGAATCTCCAACAAATCTCGGAAACAATATGTATCAAATACAAGGAGGATATTCTCCGCTAACACCCCCTCAAGTTGGTGAATGCACGTGTTGCATACCCAACTTGTCAAGAAACTTTATACCAAAAAAAAACTTGTCAAGAAACCAAACGAGCTCCTTTTTGTCCAATGCCTTCATGAAGATGTCGGCCAACTATTCCCGAGTCGAGGCATGGTGTGTAGTAATTTTACCATGATCCAAGTGATGACGTAGATAGTGACAATCGACTTCGATGTGTTTGGTGTGCTCGTGATAGACATTATTGGTCACAATGTGTAAGGCAGATTGACTGTCACAGAACAACTGCATCAGAGCCGAGTGTTCGACACCGAGACATGTGAGAAGACTCTTGATCCAAACCAACTCGGAAGTCATCATCCTCATGGCTCGATACTCGGGTTCAGCAGAAGAAAGTGATGAAAGGGTTAGATTTAATTTATTAGTGACACATGAGTTAGATAACTTGACAAAAGGAAAAAAAAAAAATCGGAATCGAGTCGGTAAATTAAAGACGATATAAAAAGGCGGATGAAAGGAATTTGGAATAGTGATCGGGTAAGGAGAGTCATGCGGGGCCCAACATGTCGAGTTGTCCATCCACGTGCTCATTCATATACCGATCTAAAATCTGTACATTTTCTTCCGGGATGAAAATATGTGATTTATTAATGTCTAAAACGTTATCATAATGACACAACCCTTAAATGGGAAACTATCGTATACATAATGAAGATGGAGAGAAGAAGACGTGAATGGTGCGTAGCAATTAGACGTTGTTGGGAGAGTGGGATTTGAGAGAGAGGGAGGAGACGGCCTCGGCCACGGTCAAGAAGAGGCTTTCGGGCCTCATGAAGTCTCCTGCCTCATCCCCTCTCTGCAGCTTCTCCATCACCTCGCTCAGTGGGTTCACCAGCACCAGCTGCCACGTTCCACGTTTTTTTTTTCAAATTAACGCTCTATATTATAACAAAAAACATCATTTCGTTCTCCAATGCGCATGTATTCAACACTTGCCTCGATGCTTTTCTTCTCCGTTGCTCTCTTCAAGTCCCTAAAGAAGGATACTCCGTTCGTGTCCACCCCACTCACGGCTAATTGTCATTTTTGTATTATGCATACAAGAGTCAGCGACTTATACAATTCTTTACTTCTCATATCTGATATATATATATATATATATATATGTATATGGATATGATTTCATAAGAAAATTATATATGAACAGCGGGGGCTCACCAGACATTTCGACAATCAAGAACCGGAGACTGGAATGCTTCTCTGCAGCTTCTTCTGCTTCGCAATCCTCTATCCACCTTGATATTCTATACGTTTCAGATCAAACAAGACGTGGTCAGCGATGCGTGCATTTAGTGTTAATACTAGGAAGAGAGCGGAGCAATAAGAAGGGCTATATGGCAGACCTTTCAGTGAGGTAGGTGGAGTTGGCGAAATTGACGGGAGCTTCAATGCTTAAGATGAGGAATCCGGGGATCTTCTGAGCCTCCTTGTAATGGTCAAGATTCCGGTAAATGCCAGTCCCCGGAATATTCCCCATCCTCACCGTTTTCGGTCTCGTTATCTGCATCATTATCTTCAACATCGAAATCCCCACCTGCACTCAGTGAACATGCCACGCTATGTGAGCCACCAACATATGACTAAGAAAGTTGAACGCTCGGGCGATTATTTGTGTTAGCTTTCCAGTCATGTCAACTAACATTAAAGGAAGGCAACCCTATGGACGATGTGCTGTAGTAAACATACCGCAATGGCAAGGCCATGTTGGACGGAGATGAAAATAACACCCAGAAAAGCGCAGAGGAAGACAAGAAAATCGAACTTATCGATCTTCCAGATATGAAGAGCGGAAGGGATGTCAATGAGGCCGACGACGGCTGTAACAATGATAGCACCCAAGGCAACGTTTGGAGTGTATTGGAACAATGGCATTAGAAAGAGCAGCGTCACCATCACCGTCACCGACATTATTATGTTTGATACAGCCGTCTTGGCTCCCGCGTTGTGGTTCACCGCTGATCTCGAGAACGCCCCTGTTTCATCAGTTAGACTGGGTCTGAGTTCAAACCTCTGTCTTTCTCTTATTTCTTTGGCTGAATATAAACAATGAACAAACCAGTGGTGACGTAGCATGAGGTGGAAGAGCCGATGAGGTTCATTAGGCCTATTGCTATCATCTCTTTGTTACCGTCCACACGGTAGTTCTTCAGCGCCGCGAATGTCCTCCCCACTGCTATTCCTTCCTGCTCACGCATGCGTTTATAACATCATCATTGCAAATTTGGTTGACATAATCAGAGTCCAAGAGACGAGAGACTAACGGTGAGCGAGACTATCCCGGTGATGAGTCCTGTTTTGGCGACCAAACCCAGATGCCTTCCACCAAACTTGAGCATATTCCAGGACGGCGGGTTCAGCCCTTCTTGTAATTTCCCGATCTATCAACGCCAACCACATCATGTTATACATGCCCAATTGATGATATAAACATATATGTAACAAGGGCTTACGACGGTGATGCCGTGACGATCTGCCCTGAAAGCGAAGACAAGAAGCGTAGAGACGATCACAGAGACGAGTGGAGCTCCCGCTGACACCCAGAACAGCCTCGGCCTCTTCATACCCTGCATTTTCACATATTTTTTTTAAAACAAAGTATGTGATACTCTGTATCACGTTCCCCTGATTTTGGGTTTCACGTCCACAATCCTAGATTTACGGGAGAAATCAACCATCCTAAATCATCCAAAGCGAAATATGAGTAAGCTGATGTCCATTCCATGTATGAATGTGTCACAAATGAAGGTGACATGTTACTAAGCACGGTGGCGATAGAAGAACAGAGCCCCGATGAAGGGGGAGGCGTGACGTACGTTCCATGGATACGGAAGCCTAACAGGTGTTGCACATGCACAAAGGAACCTTACTGTTACATTGTAGTAAAAAAAAACTAGATGCAACAAAAAAAAAGAAACATAAATAGGGTACAGACTCGAACGGGAAGGACATGTGTCTGCGTTTCGACTAAACAACGAATACTAAAACACGAGAGAGTGGAAAGGGAGGGTGAAGAGAAGCATACGAGGTGTCGAGTGGCGAGGAGGAACACCAAGAAGCAGACTCCCATCAAAATTGTTTGCCATGACCACTGCACCACCAACCCATAATCAACTCTTTATCACCAAATTGTTCGACTTCAATCGATGATAGATATGATTAATTAGAAGGAAGGAGAGAAAAACCTCGTCGGTGTGGCGAAAAACAGAGGAGAGAACAGGGACTACTCCCATCTGCTTAGTGAAATGGGTGATCCCAAGCAGAGCCTTCAGCTGCTGCAGTGACACTATTATGGCTGGGCCCCCCCCGAACCCTGTCAGCGTTGCTTTCGACATGAAATCTATTATAAACCCTAGCCTGCGTACGCACGTATTATATTTTTTTTATTACACTTCATGAAATCCACCTTACAGTACTATATTTGACTAAGATATAAAAAGGGTTGCATAACAAAACCTGAGAAGGCCGAGAGAGGCTTGGAAGAGACCAGCGAAGAAGGTGGAAGTGAAGGCCAGCTGGAGGAAGAGGACAGGATCGTTGTTCGGAGACACTTCCTGCCTGAGCATAGACCCCAATATGAGGGACGCTATGGAGACTGGCCCCACCGCCAGATCCCTCGAGCTTCCCAGCACCGCGTACACCAGCGGCGGCACGAAGCTCGAATCTATTTTTTTTATACATGCATATATATGTATGTATATAAGCAAGAATAATAACAATGAATGAAGGGGGCCGGGAAGTGATTACGTACATAGACCGACGATGGGAGGGAGGTTGGCAAGCTTAGCGTAGCTGATGCCCTGAGGGATAGCGAGGCTGGCGATGGTGAGGCCGGAAACGACGTCGGATTTGAGGAGGGAGAGAGAGTAGTGAGGGGCCCACTCGAGGATCGGGAAAATGTACTGGGCGGCCATTATCAGCTTCGTGTTGGGAGACTGCCCTCTGAACTGCCGGAGCGGATCCTCCGGGAAGAATGTCTCCTTCAGCCGCCCCTTCAGTTTCTCGGCGGTGCTCCTTCGCGGTGGCAAGACGACCTTCTGCACCTCCATCTCCCCTCTTCCTTGCTACTCCCTCTCCTCCCACTTGCCCTCCCTTTTATATATACCCCTTCCATGGTCCCTACTTCCCTCGTGAGATTGTTTCCGTGGCAAACATAAAATTAAAATAATTTTCTATAACTTTTTTTTTCTTGAAACCCCATTTAATTTGTGTTTCATTCTCTTGAAAAGTGTAATTCGAAATATAAAATAAAATATCACGGTGTTTTGGATTAAAAATACAAAAATCTCTAAATATGAATGAAAGCATTATCCGAAACCACTGTTGTTTGTGGGATCATCAACCGATGGAACTCGTCTTCTAACATAAATCGATAGATGGAAAGTTAATCGGATAAACTCCACAATGCAACTATTATTATTATTATTTTTTTATTAAACGTTAATAATCATTCTTTAAAGGAATATGGACAGCGTTAGTATTTATTTTAAGAAAGCAATAATGTAACTGTTAAGAACATAGTATCTTAACGTGATTTGCCAATACGAAATTGGTAGGGTAAGACAAGGGCTTCGACATGTTATCTTGCCCGTGAGACCGCTAACAAACAAAGGGAAGAAACTACTTGGACTAGTTATGGACAAAAGGAGAAAAAGGTTTGACGAGAGGCGAGGACTCTTCGATTTGATATAATTGAGCCCACCCACTATCTTTTATTATTGCCAAAGGAAAAAAAAAACATGTGCATATTCTGAATATTAATGGAGACTCGTCCACTTTACCAATAAATATCAAATTGAAACTACGGCCAAAAGCTACTTAAACCATGCCCCCATTTGTTCAGTGATTAATTATAACCATAATCGCAACTCTACGTTACTGTAAAATTAAATTATCATGGAAGATGAAGAACAAATAGAGGAGCGAGCCAGATGACCCGTTTGCATGGTTTTTCCGCCTCCATGTGCTCGGAGCCATGAACTTCTGGTTTTAAGATTCTGTTACACTATTTGAGAGAATATGTTTATGGTCATGAATTGTATTTCTCATACGAAAAAATTGAAGAAGAAAAAAAAAATACCAAAGCCAAAAGTCGTAACATCTCTTATATATGCAACCGAATTATGAATATTAATTTATAGTGATTGTTGCTATTTTTGGAATTGGTTTTTATTGTGGTGGTGGGGGACGACCTTTCACCATTTCCCTTTCTTTGGAAGAAAAATAAGGAAGGAAATCATTTGAGACAAAGTTATCGCCGTTCCTCAACCCAACCATCAAAGGCTTATATATTAGGAGAGTATATAATATAACACAAGAATCTTTAAGAGTAAATACTATCTTAATTGGTCCATATAGATTAAAGATATTAATAACAATTGAAAATCGTGTGTGGGTGTTAATGTGAGCTAAGTTTTCCTATCCATGATTAGGATTTCATCTGCCCTCTTGTTGGTAAAAAAGGAAGTAACCACCGATTCCGTCGCAACAATTTTGCAACACCAAATAAGGGATCTTAATATTTAAATCCTTAAATAAGATACTCCTTCAATTTCAAAATATTTTTCGTTTTAGAGATTATTTTTTGTTTCTAAATAATTATCATTTTAGATTTTTAAGTACTCCCTCCGTTTCAAAATATTTATTGTTTTAGATTGTTTCACATTTTTTTAAAATGGATCAAAAGTCACATATACCCTTATTTGATGATAAAAACAAAGCAATCATTAATAATGTATTAGAATTTGATAGGGATAAAATTGAAAACTATTATAAAAAAATGTCTTGAAAATGTAAAACTATAAATATTTTGAAACATATAAAATAACCTAAAACTACAATTATTTTGAAACGGAGGGAGTAATTTTCAAGAAAAACTTTTAATTTTATCCTTAATTAAAAATGTCAAATTTTAATAGAGTATTAATGTGAATATGATTTAATAAGGGTATATATGATTTTTTTTTTTTAAATTTTCTTAAAAACTGTGAAAAAATCTAAAAGAAGGGGTATTATTTAGCATTGATTGCATGATTGGCAATCAAAGAAGCTTTAGCAAACATTAAGGTGAGAAAGCAACTTTAACATATGATTTGAGACACGCAAGGTATCTCAAACTCTAACACAAGCATGATTTGCTGCGAACCCAAGTTGTATGATTTATTCACCACATACTGAATCGTTTTGGGAGATTCTGGACCCACCAAATAATAAGTTCATACTCAAAAATTTCAGAGACCAAGATGCAAAAATACTTTTATTCTACGTTATCAGAAAAGGGTACATGTTTTTTTTCCGCCGTGATTATGCACATCATTAGTTGCCTTATCCCCATCCGTGCGTTTGATTCTAACGGGAAAACATTTGCCCGTTAAAGAGTGAAAAAAAAAATCCATAAAACAAAAACACCGCCTTTTTATTTAGGAAAAGAGAGAACACGGACGAAGTACTGTTGGTAATTATGTCGGAGAAGATTAATACTAATTGACTGATTATGCGTTTAATCCTAATCTATTAGGGGATATAAAGAGATAAGGATCGAGTCAACCACAACAAAGACAATGAGGACGGTGTCTGAAAATATGTCTTAGTCATATGAAAGCTGAACATGGAAATAATTTTAGTGATATCTTCAATTATCAATAAAATATACAAAGTAATGATAGAAACGCCCAAATGAAATTATTGGAAGAAGAGAAGATCCAAAAGGGTATTCTAACGGGACGTGAATGGAATTATTCAAAAAGGGATCCGATGCTCAACTTTTTTCTTTAATCAATATGAATGTGAATGTGGGCAGTGGCCACATTGGCGAGAACTGTTCAGACACGACACATGTCTCTCTCCATACCTATTTAAGCACTATTTCTAATCTCGTTGGTTAATCATTTTTATAAATTAATGAGGTTTCGGAGGGTTTTCACGTGCTGATCTTGTATTTTCCTTGTTGAAACCCATGCAGTTTCATTGGTTGGTCTTAGATATAAGACTCTATCAGTCTTTTATCATTTACTAGCCCCAAAAATATAAATAAATCTGGACCTATTATTTGACTTTAAGCAAACCCATGATTATATGCATAAAAATTAAGACTTTTGCAGAAGTCACGACACATTTTAGCGAAGGAAATAGAAGCAATAACAAAGCAAACGAACGCACGTTAACATTTGCGGATACGCATGATTGATTCCACAAACAGCTCAAAGATTGCTTAGGATGGCACTTAATTAACACGCGATTCAAATATTGAGAAACAAAAAGCCTTTCTTATCATGTGAAAAAAAAAAACAATACGTAATGCATGTGTACCGTCCAATTTGCTTGTGGAGACTTTGAGGCTGATATACTTTCAAAGAAAAATGAGAAGTTGGAGGAGAAACTCAAACCACCAGTAGTTGGAACTGGCATTAATTTTGTCGTATTAGGTTTCATGAATCTTCTTTGGGGATCCAAAAGAGTCGGTGCACGATACATGGCTTGTGATGTTCTCTTTTTATGGTGGTTTTGACAAAAACGCTGTTGATGAGATACGATGTTATCGAAGTCTCTCTCTCTCTTTTATAAAATATTGGATATGATAAGGGTGAATCCTTCATAGTGCCCGTCGATTTCTACAATCATATCGTAAGATTCAGACCCATACACGCACACATGACACAACCACTCCCTCCTTTAGGGACCTCCAAAAGGGGAGAGCTTCGCATGTGCTGCCTTTGCTATCCATTATGCAACTACCGAGCGCTCTCTTTCTTATCCTAACTTTATTTTATTTTTGTTACATCTTTATAAATTTTTATTTCACATAAAAGTCCATGCAAGGCAAGGCGCTCCCCCGATTATACAATTCACATACATTTCACATAAACTAAAATAACATGGGTCACGTAAGTTGTAGTACGTGGTAAAGAATTATTACATTCATCAAGCTTAATATATCTTCTCATGAAGTATCTCATACGTTGGGGGGAGAGATAGAGAGATGGGCTTCACGAATCAACGAAGCCCAAAGAATACGGGCCAATAGTTAAAGCGTCCAAACACGTCCTGAAAAGCCAAGGCCCTTTTATTCAATAACTATATGCTTAAACTTGTGGCTTTTGTAAATTTGGCATATTGGGCTCCCATCTTAAAATCTTCCGTGGATTAATCGTACCAACAATATGGCCTAAACTTATGGCTTTTGTAAATTTGGCACAAGCGTTTCAAGGCAAATCATGTGGAAAATAAGAATTTATAAGATCGATCCCAATAAACTTGGTATTAAAACGATGTTTGTTAAAGTGGGAAAATGAATATATGATTGGAGTAAAATAAGATTAGAGATATGATGGAGAATAATAATGGATACAATATCATTATACCAAATATTGTGTATCTGATTTGTTTCCATTGTGTCTATATTTCCTTTTTATTCTATTTCTTAATTTTCCTATAAATATGTAGTTCATTTTCATTATAATGTAACCAGAAGAAGAAGAGATGTAGCAATAAAAGTAATTTCGTTTCTTTCTATTTGTCTTATTTTATTTCCGCATTTTATTTTTCTACATGGTATCAGAGCAGCGTTGCGATCTGGACTATATGTTTTTTTTTCTAATCTCTTCTTTCTTTAGCGTTTTGGATGTTCATATATCCAAATCGTTTGAAGGAGAGTAAAAATTCAAATTCAAACGATGTGCTATGACAAACAAAAGTCAAAGCTAAAAACTCTAAGATCAAGCAAGATGCTATGACAAAAAGAGTTAAAGCTAGAACTTTAAAGTCAAGCGAAGTGATTTGAAAATGATTAATGCTCTCTAAAAGAACAAATTTTGGTTTATGAATTTTTCCTGAGACAATGAAAATGTCTGAGCGGTTTATAGCATTATCGATTCAAGATTGACTTTTTTCATTCTTTCAAAGTCAATCTTGAGGGGGAATGTTAAAGTGGGAAAATGAATATATGATTGGAGTAAAATAAGATTAGAGATATGATGGAGAATAATAATGGATACAATATCATTATACCAAATATTGTGTATCTGATTTGTTTCCATTGTGTCTATATTTCCTTTTTATTCTATTTCTTAATTTTCCTATAAATATGTAGTTCATTTTCATTATAATGTAACCAGAAGAAGAAGAGATGTAGCAATAAAAGTAATTTCGTTTCTTTCTATTTGTCTTATTTTATTTCCGCATTTTATTTTTCTACAATGTTGTTGTTGGTTTAGATGATGGGTGCAAAGCACACTGCATCATCTTTCTGTTTCAAGCGAATGAAATCATTTATCCGTATCACATGAGAGATTCTACTTGTGGTCGGTCACATGACTACATCGTTTCCTAGTGTTGACTGATTATGATGAGTTCATACAGCCACACAGAAGTGGCTTCTCTCTTCTCTAAACCACCAAAAAGCGGCGGCGAGATGCCAACCGGCGTGAAGGAAAGACGTTTGGTGGAAAAGGTCATCTGCTATGAAGAGCAACGGCGACATCTTGTGCCTTCTTCGGTTCTGGTTCTTTTTCCGCGCTTTCGCAAATGCTGTTAGAAATCTGGGATATAAAAAGAAGAACAATAACAGAAAAGTAAATAGGAACCGGATAACTCTTCAAGGCGTGATACACTTTCCTAAAAACGTTATTCCATCCTATACGAGCAAAGGACTTTCCGGAATACGTATTTGAGATACAATGAAGAGAGAAGTGATCTTAGTTTGCTCTACTAAGAACACAAACACAAGAAATTGCAAGAAGAAGATGAACAAAAGGCTTTTGTGGGTGTTTTGCAAGAACAACCACAAAAGTGCTCTCAAATCTCTCAAAAAACAATTTAGATCTGTTCTCTATCGTGCTAGGATGTCCAGGGGTGTTAATAAACATTCCAAATGTCGAAAGGTGTGAAGAAATCGAAAGTTTTTCCCCAACGGTCGCGATTTTTCGCTCAATCCGAACTGCTCAGAAAAAACGGGCTGTCCGCCCGTTTTGTCGAGCTACCCGCCCGTTTATTTTATTGCTCAGAAAAAACATGCTACCCTCCCGGTTTTTCTGAGCTACCGCCCATTTATTTATGAGCTTTATTCCTCAGAAAAAACAGGCTGCCAGCTCATATTTTCGAGCTGCCCTCCCGTTTTTTCTGAGATCTTCTTTCACGTTCAAAACCGAACGTAAACTCTTTCGACGTATCCTTAAACACTTAGCCAATTCATACCACGTCTTTTACAAGCATTTAACTCCTCCACCATACTTATAATACACGTGAAACATGAATCCTTTTGAGAGATTCTAAATTCCCATTCATTTACTCTAAAAATCCCAACAAATGCTTTTCCAATTCCATTCAATGTATGGATTAAGAAAAAAAAGAAAAACTTTGAAAGATGTGATAATGTAGATACCTCCATCATTCCCGCGTGAACAGCAGATACCATCAGAGGCTGAAACGGGAGTGTTCAGATTCTTCCTATATTGGCATACTTCAGTCATGTGACAATGAATGGAAGTGACGTAATTACATTCACTACAAAAAAGTGGTCATTTCCAACGGGTAAATCCGTTGGAAATGGCCAGATTTCCGTTGGAAATTAACGTTTCCAACGGATTTCCAACGGATTTATCCGTTGGAATTTCGTCGTTAGAAATCGGTGTCCGTTGGAAAACCGTTGGAATTTTCAACGGAATTTCAACGAATTTTTCCGTTAGAATTTTCCAACGGATTTCCAACCGGCATCCGTTGGAATTTTCCAACGGATTTCCAACCGCAATCCGTTGGAATTTTCCAACGGAATTTTCAACTGCATTCCGTTGGAATTTTCCAACGAAAAATTCGAAACATATTCCCGACCCGACCCCGACCCCGACACCGACCCCGACCCCGACCCCGACCCCGACCAAACCACGATCCCGAAACTCACTTCCCAGTA